GGTCTTCGTCCTCGTTTGAAAGCTCGGCCCTCATTCTTAGATCTCATCAAAATCCAACATATTGATACCTTGTCAATAGCTCCAGTCGAGCTTAATCAAGAGCCATTACCACAACTTCCTCTATCACCCCCTCCAACAACAATCCAATTCATAGTTCCTAATACAAGCAAAGAAAGCGCCAACATGGCTCCTCAACGAGATGCAGATGGAGAGGATCAATTTGGTTTGTCTTGACCTGTTTTCCCTATCCTACCAACATCATTGCTAATCGCCTGTCGACAGGTTCAATTTACTCCGTATCAGGGTTTGTGAAATACTTCATCAATATGTCTTCCTCCAGCTAATTATCTTTAGTCCGGTCGTGGTGGCAGAGAATATGATCGGAGTTGCCATGTACGAGTTGGTAGGTTTGCTTAGCCAATGTAACCCAACTATTGTGTTGCTAACTTATGAATAGGTCAAAGTCGGTCACGATAATCTTGTCGGTGAAGTTATTCGAATCGAAGCGGATAGAGCGACTATCCAAGTATACGAGGAAACAGGTATGGGATAATATATGGCTCCTGGTTGGAATCATAACTGACTGTTGGGTATAAAGCTGGTGTTACTGTTGGAGATCCCGTTGTGCGTACTGGAAAGCCTTTGTCCGTCGAGTTGGGCCCAGGTCTTATGGAAACAATTTACGATGGTATTCAACGACCTCTCAAAGCTATCGCAGACAAATCCGATAGTATCTACATTCCCCGTGGTATTTCCGCTCCAGCTTTAAACAGAGAAAAGGACTGGGACTTCAAGCCGATTATGAAGGTTGGAGATCACATTACTGGAGGCGACATTTGGGGTACAGTCTACGAGAACTCCCTGCTAGATGATCACAAGATTCTTTTCCCACCCAGAGCTAGGGGTACAATTACTCGCATTGCTGAAAAGGGAAGCTACAAGGTCGACCAAAAGATCCTCGAGGTTGAATTTGATGGCAAGAAGACCGAGTATAGCATGATGCACACATGGCCTGTACGTGTACCACGACCAGTTACCGAGAAATTGGCAGCAGATAAGCCATTTATCGTTGGACAACGTGTATTGGATGCTCTTTTCCCTAGTGTTCAAGGAGGAACTGTTGCTATTCCAGGTGCTTTCGGTTGTGGTAAGACGGTCATTAGTCAATCTGTTTCTAAGTTCTCGAACAGTGATATTATTATATACGTTGGATGGTAAGGATCTATCTTTTCTAAATCATAGCGATATTATGCTAATATCATATATAGCGGAGAGCGTGGAAACGAGATGGCTGAAGTCTTGATGGATTTCCCAGAACTTTCTATTGACATTGATGGACGCAAAGAGCCTATCATGAAGCGTACAACACTTATTGCTAACACCTCTAACATGCCTGTCGCAGCTCGTGAGGCTTCTATTTACACCGGCAAGTCCCCCCCAGATGTCCTTTCCCTATTTCCAACTCTACACCTACACCTACACCTACACCTACACCAGCACCTTCCCTTCATCAATCGGTAAGTTGGTGAGTCATTGGGAATCAGCAGCCACCTGGTCCTGATCTTTCTTTCATTACCTCACTATCTGGAGCAACGGGATTCAAATGCCATTATACAGGATCTATAAACTATAACAATTAGCAACATCAATCACTATCGTTCGTGATACTCGCTGGAAGTTCGAAGCTGCTTAAGCTGCAATTATTGGATCCCAAATCCGAGTTCGACTCAGATGATTCTGATGTTGATAGCAGCAATCCCTTTCACAATGATGTTTGCCAAATGTTGGAAGACGAGACATGGGCATTGATCAACATTGATGCACCATCTTGGTACATCAATGATACCTTCAGAGCTGTCTTTGATAGCCGATCATCTTATGATAGCATAGCTACATGTTCGCCTCTTGAACTTGCACCAAACCTGCATCAAGTTCTCACATCCTCACATCCACCCAACATCGACTTTTTCCAATCCCTACCCAAGCCTGTGGGGAAAGTTTGGGGGATCTATGTTATTGTCATCAAGAAAATCCATTGCAAACCCAAGATCTACATCGACTCTGGTACAGATGCAGCATATGGCATCAAAAATCGACTCAAAAGTTACAAAAATATGGAATCTGCAACTCTCCCTCGCTTTATACATGAAGGGTATCAAAATGGCTATCGATTGGCACACTCTGGTCTGCTCTGCTGGACTCCATTACCATCTGCTGGTCTCGTTCCTCGTGTTAGAGCTCGCAGTTTAGCATTGGAGTCGATTTTCACTTGTTTATTTCACGCCAAGTTCAAGATGATCACAGATGAATACTACGAACATCTGCTACTTTGGAAATGTGATACAGTCAGCTGGGAGCCATCTTGCACTCATCTTCCTATTAAGGAAAAGTTGGTTGGGGATTTTAAGTTAACGGAAGAAGAACTTGAGATCATTGCCGCCAAACAAGTTCAACGAAGAGTGGATAGAGCAAAAAGACATCGAGAAAACCTACGAAATAAAGACACCGATTCTTATCGAGCGCGAGAACGGATCACCAAGAATACTTGGACTGCTAAAAACCGAAACAAAGTCAACCAAACTGCGGCTAAAGTTGGAGAAAATGCTCTATCCAGCAATCCCTTTTTTTGCGATGTTTGCCAAATGTCTCTACAAAGTCAACTGGCACTCGATAAACATCTGTTGACACAAAGTCATGCTGATTCTGTGGCTGGAATTGAGAAGCCTGAGATGTCTCAGCATTCCATCAATCAAAGAAACAAGCGTGCCAATGCAAAAGCTAGTGGCGAACATTCTTGCAACATCTGCAACAAGTCTTTCGACATCAATTGGGCATTGAATCGTCATAATGCTACTCCATCGCACAAAAAGAAATTGGAATCTGTTTAGATTTCTAGTGTTTCTTCAACTATTCTTACCCATCTCAATCCCAAAACTATCATCAACTATCTTCGATCTATCTCATTTGACACCAATCGACTGGCTTTTCCATTGGCTCATTTACTGGCTTAATCGACAACGTCGATCTCCTGGCTCCATCTATAGGACAACACTCTACTGGCTTATCTACTGGACATCATTACATCTCACTGACTCATTACCAATGCCTCATTTATTGTACATTCATTTACTAATTATATTTCGATTTCGTAGGTTTAACGATCGGAGAATACTTCAGGGATATGGGTAAAGATGTTGCCATGATGGCTGATTCTACATCTCGTTGGGCTGAGGCTCTTCGTGAAATTTCTGGTCGTTTGGGAGAGATGCCTGCAGATCAAGGTTTCCCCGCTTATCTTGGAGCAAAACTTGCTAGTTTTTACGAACGTGCTGGTAAAGTTCAAGCTCTTGGTGGACCAGACCGTGAAGGTAGTGTCAGTATTGTCGGTGCTGTCAGTCCTCCTGGTGGTGATTTCTCCGATCCTGTGACAAGTAGTACTTTGGGTATTGTGCAAGTCTTCTGGGGTCTTGACAAGAAACTTGCTCAACGTAAACATTTCCCTTCTATCAACACTGCACTCAGTTACAGTAAGTATACTACTGTTCTCGACAAATACTACGAAAAGGATTTCCCCGAATTTCCCAGACTTCGAGACCGCATCAAGCAACTTTTAACTGATTCCGAAGAATTGGACCAAGTCGTTCAATTGGTTGGAAAGTCAGCATTGTCCGACCCTGACAAGATTACCCTGGATGTAGCTGCATTGATCAAGGAAGATTTCTTGCAACAAAATGGTTACAGTGACTATGATCAATTCTGTCCTATTTGGAAGACCGAATGGATGATGAAGGCAATGATGGGATTCCACGATGAGGCTCAAAAAGCAGTCGCACAAGGTCAAAGTTGGGCTAAAGTACGTGAAGCTACCGGAGAGCTCCAATCCCAGTTGAGAAGTATGAAATTTGAGGTTCCAAGTGAAGGCGAGGAGAAGATCACAAAGAAGGTATGTTCATCCATAGTGTTCATTTGTCTGATAGTATATTAATCTAACATCTTTACAGTACGAGGATCTTGTTCAAGCTATGACTGATAAATTCGCTTCCGTTACCGATGAGTAAAAGAAAGCATAATAGGCGATTGTTTTGGGGAAGCGGTATGGTGGTTTGCATTTCTTGCTTTGACTTGTACCAAAGTTTTGTTGGGTGATAGATATAAGATTGTATGCATATAACGAGCGAATGGACTTCATAAAAATGAATTTTCTTCAACAACCTTGTTGATGTGTCTACGTATAGTCTGACTGCCAAATGGTTCATCACACAAATGACAGGCGTTGATATATTTATGTTGCGATTGTTGACTACAGACTTTCAAAATGTTATTCATATCTAGATAAACCTATTTTAATGATTTTGAACAATTGAAACATTCAAATGATTTTATTATTTCGAATGATTTCAAATGATTAAATGATTCTAAGAATCTAAATAATTTGAATAATTTCAAAGATTTAAATAATTTTAAAAAAGTAATGAGTTTAGAAAATACGAAAAGAGCAACCCTATCTTAGATTCTTGAAATCAATAAAAAAATAGGAGGAATAAAATGAATTCCTTATAATTTAGTTTGTTATTAATAACATACTAATCTAGCACTCATTTCTCTCCCGAAACGAAAGCAACTGAATTGTTCATCAAGTTCATTCGAATGACTATCGTTTTGACCTCGTTCATCTGTTATTCTCTGATTGGCTGAGTGAGGAGTTTTCTTGCTGAATCATCTCGGAAAAAAACTCGCTAATTCTTTGATCGCAGCAAATTACGCTGAGAACTGAGAAGTAATTTCGAGGGACCACTATGATGCGAAACTCCAGATGTTTTATTTGGGAACCAAAAGATTCTCATCTGTAGTATGTCGGTAATTCTAAATAGTGCTCTCTAGGATTTTGCAAGACTAACGAACAATTAGTCATCAAGAAAACTTCTGATGGGAAAGTAGAAAAATCATCATCAAAAAACACATTCAATCCCCGCACGTGAAAGACTCAAAGCATTGAAAATATGGGAAGCACAAATCCCTTGCCCACCTCTGATCCACACAATCCCTCCATCCAACATTGGGAAAATGGATTGGTACTCTACTCCAACTTCATCTCGGCTGAAGAAGAAGCCGACATCATCGCATCGATCCAGAAAGATGATCGTTGGTGCGGAATCGGTAAGCGACAAACGATGCATTATGGTGCGCATTTCGATTACACCACTTTCTGCGCTTCGGATGCGTGGACGGATGTCCCAGATTGGATTGAGGAGTTGGTGGGGAGGTTGCCGTTTAAGGAGGAGGGGGGGGGAAAGGGGAAGGTGGATCAATTCACGGTGCAGTATTATCCCCCTGGTACCGGTATCCCGCCGCATGTGGATACGCATTCGGCGTTTGGAGAGTATTTGTATAGTTTGAGTTTGGGGTCGGCGGTACCGATGGGGTTTAAGAGGTGTGGAGTGAATGAGGAGAGGAAGATGAGGAGGCCGAAGAGGTCGTTGGGGGAAGTGAGTGGGGATGTGAGGAGGAGGGAAAAGGCGGAAGAGGATGGAGAGGAAAAGTGGGAGGTTTGGTTGAGGGAGAGGAGTTTGTTGGTTATGAGGGGGGAGGCCAGGTATGGGTTTGCGCATGGGATTAGGGGGAGGAAGTTTGATGTTGATGGGGAGGGGGAGGGGGAGGGGCTGAAGAGGAGGAGGGAGGGCAGATGGAGTCTCACGATGAGGAGTGTGAAAAGGGGTGCAGAGATGGGGTGTTCGTGTGCGTTTCCGGGGGTTTGTGATGCGAGGATCAGGGAGGAGAGGGAGGAGAGGGAGGAGAGGGAGGAGAGGGAGGAGAGGGAGGAGAGGGAGGAGAGGGAGGAGAGGGAGGAAGATAGCGAAATTCAGAAACCAGCTGAAAGTATACCTGAACTTCCACCTAAATAAACACATCAAGTCTAGAACAAGCCTACCCTCTCAATACCCCCCCCCCCCCCCCCAAAAAACCGTAAATAATATAGCGAGCCCATTCTAGTGATCCAATGAATATTGACACAAAGTGGAAATCTCCCATAAGCTTAAGTTGCAGAAGATCGAGATAGACGAGATGATGAATTGAAGACTTAATAGACGGTTTGGATTTTGGGTTATGTGTATACTATCTTCTTCATATCCCTAGATCTCGATACATATTCTACAACTCGCGAAACGTTCGGATTCCATTGGAGTAAACATCAAATAAGTAGCTGACTAATTAAGCAAAGAAGGATATAACTGTATTTTCATAAAATAAACGAAGAAGCAAGTAAATATATCCTTGAATCTCCACAAGGTATTATCACTATAAAACTAACTAAATAACTACTCAAATAGTAATCTTATTATGAAATAGATATAGATTAATAAACGTCCAAAGTTCACATGTCATGATACTAGTATGAAAATGTATGTATGTACGTAGGTAGATAGAATAGAGCAGGAGATGTCTAATGAATGAGAATGTTTTCGTAGATTCATGTTTGTTATGTTTGTCATGTTATAGGTAGGGTGCTTGAGGTTTATGTTCTGTGATGGAAATTGAATTTGGTGTTTAGGGTTTATTCGTCGGGTGGGAATGGATATGGATGTGGGTGTGGATAGGGGTATATGGTCTGCTAGAATTGAAGAAGGTGGATTTGGAACTTGGGTTTGAGATTCGAGATGGAGACGGAGATGGGGAGTTAGTTCTGGTGCTTGGAGTGTTGGGTGGGCAGACAACTATAAATACCTGGCTACCTGCTGTATATGATTAGCTCACATATACAACTTTACATTAATTGATACACTAAAATGTAATGAGTATGAAAATTGTTTGATTGTTTTCATATTCCTGTGGATTTAACGATAGACAAGATAGGATTTTCCACAGTGAGCTGACAATATATCCCCTTTTCCTCCTGCCTGGTTTGTGTACGAGCTGTTCAGTTGCTCAGTATACTCTCTTGTAGGACTACATTTCCATATAAAAATCATTCATTTATAAAAAGAAAATAAGAGATCCATATAGTTGAGCGATGGGAATTATACCGAGCCTAACACGTCCAAGTGCCAGTGATTTATTTCTCCAAATCATGCCCAATCTGAACATCTCTCGGCTTCCCAATCCCCGCCGTCATCTTACCCACGGAGAAAAGAGCTTCTGAAACGGTTTTTCTCGGACTGGAATTGTTAGGTCTGATTCGAAAGTTTTGAACTTTTCTTGTCAACCATTCCCATTTCCATACTAGAACCATTGATGCTACTGTGACAGGTATACTGATGGCAAAGTATAGCCAAATATCGACGTCAATTCCAGAATTGAGCTCCGATACATTCATACCAAAAACGCCGGCAACGAATGATAATGGAATGTACACCGTTGCAAGGACTGTCAAAGCCCTGTAGTTTGTCAGCGATGATATGGGAAAGGTTTGTCGACATTTCGCAACTTACTTGACGTCATTGGCTTGCTGTATTGCTTTTCTACTCTCCTCAACAGCTATCATTGCTGTGAGTAGCGGTATACTGGCACTGTTTTGCTTCATTTGGATCATGACTTTATTTTCAAGGAATTGATAGTCTTTCAAAATTTGGCTGCGATTATCAGCAAACCAGGAATAGGTTTCCAGAGAATTAATGACACGGAGGTTCATGTTTAGCATACTCCATGTCTGTTTGAGATACTCCTCGAATGACTCTTTCTCCAACAGCCTTACTTCAGTGGTGGCGAGGTATTGAGGCTTGAGACCTGGAAGCATGTATGCTTCCTGCGCGTGGATGACGGTTCATTGCTAGCAACCTCTAATGCTATCCATGGCACTCGATTTCTCATATATTTTTGCCGGTCAAAATTTTTATAGAATTTTTTTTGAACTTGGTTTTCGAGTCTTGAACGCATGTTCAGAGAAATATCAAATTGATCACCGGATTGCTTCGGATTCCCATCGCAGATGAACAAAGCTATGGATGTAGGAAATAAGCTTAGGTCGCTTCAAAATGACAATAGAAACTTCATTGCCTTGTGACAATGGAAGTTACCCAGATATAAAAGTTAATAACATACAAGTCAAAGACTCTTGGCTACTTCGTGAAGTCCATACTGTGACATGTTCCTCAGAAGAAACCAGATTACCATGACAAAATGTACTCCTTTAATTTTGGACTTCGCAGATAGATTTAGCAGAGCTGCGTCTGTAGCAACGTTGATAGGGTATGACCACATGATCCTGGATGTAGCTTCTACTCGGAAGTAAAAACGCGACATCATCGCTGGCACGCTTGAAGTGGTCTCGAAAAACGTCGATACTACAGCCCAACAATCGGCTGACTATTGGCGATGCATGGATCGATACGTCCTCTAAGAAGTAAAAACGCGCTGGGGATAGTTCGACTGGAGTTTGCTTTAGATACTTCGACAATCCCTCTGTGTCATTGAGTGTAATCTTGAACAATTTGCCCGAAGGCTCGTATTCCAGAACATGCATATTAATTGGCCACACTTCTTCACGAGACTCGGTACGAATATTAACAGAGAAGTTTGCCGATGCCGAAAGCTCCCCAACTCTGAAGTTTGATAACTCTCCCAAGGGATCCCAGTAAAGCTCTTCCACATTTTGTAGCACAATACTGCTGTAGTTGAAATTATCTGAATCGTCCGACGTGCTTTCGCCAGGACTTACTACCTCGATACGTTCAATCCGGGGCTTAGTCACGACATTGACAAGCCCTGGTTCCAGTACACTAATTGTGTCGTCGTCCCGCACTGGAAGTGGTAATTGAGTACTTCGCCGGGCGATCTTTGCAGATGAATTCGACTCATTGCCTGGATCATACGACGCATCCCGGCGTGCCGCGCGCTTGGTAGTAAAAGATTAGAATTTGCTGTGGTCATGGTGTATTGTGTTTATTGTTAATTTGCATACCGTCAGCGTCTCGAGGTGCAAAACTCGAGTGCCTGCTGGGATAAATGCACACACCTGTGCTTTCCAGCATGCAGTTGGCCATCAGCATCGCATGTGCCAGTCAGGCCTTATCAGCGCGAAGCCTCCATCCAGCACTCGATAGGCGTTCCAAACTAATATATACCGGTATATATATTGAACAGCAATCGAAGAAATATGTTTCCCGTCTTCATATCATTCATAGACACTCAAATCTCTATGATTAGGTAGCCCATTCAATTTTTCAGTGGACAAATAAACAGCAAAGTAAAAAGCCCCGACCCCTCCCCCCCCATTTCATGTGAAGAGTATTTTGTTCAAATGTCTATTTGGATTTGGATAGCAAAGGGAGCGAGAGTGACCACATTGGAACTTCTTCGCGGGGCATATGCACGTGAGAGACTAAAATCGTGGGGCACTCACGGACCATCTCTTCCGACAAGAACTCCAGGAGGATGTGTTTGAAGCTGTTCACTATGGTTTCAGACCTCGACGTCGAACAATTGATCCTCAAAATCAAAATGTGTTTGAATTATTGCTACCAATATCTATTGCTCCATTCGCAAATACTAATTCACCAGATTAACTAATATCAAAATATAATCATTATGCCTAATCTATTCGGAAACTTCAATCTGTAAGTTGAATAACCACCTTCATCTTCTCAATTACTCGAAATTCGCATTCTAATGTCTCTCCCTCTCTAGTCCCACCGATTTCCTCGGTCGCTTCTTGAAATCGCAGTTAAAGAAACTTCCATATCCAGAGACATCGTTTGCGGGCCAAACGATCATCATAACCGGCGCAAACACTGGGCTTGGTCTCGAAGCCGCTCGACACATTGTTCGACTCGGTGCTGCAAGAGTGATCCTCGCATGTCGTACCATTTCTAAAGGCGAAGCTGCCGTCGCTTCTATTTCTGCGTCGCTTCCTGAACACAAAACTATCATTGAAGTATGGCAAGTAGATCTCAATTCGTACGCCTCCGTCAGAGAATTTTGTGTCAAAGTAGATCAGCTGGACCGCTTAGATGTTATGCTTGAGAATGCGGGATTGGCAGTGCCGAAATATGAGGAGTTTGAGGGAATGGAAAGTACGGTTACGGTTAATGTGATGAGTACATTTTTAATGGCATTACTGGTGCTGCCGAAATTGAGGGAGAGTGCTGCGAAATTTAATATAGTGCCGAGATTGACAATTGTAGCGAGTGATGCGCATGAGCAGGTATGCTTCTACCCCTTCATCTGTTCTCCAGATTCTCCATGTTTGAATTTGGCGAGGCGTTAGCGATTTTTGAACTGCCCCTTCAATACGAATCGCTTCAAGAGTATTCAAGAACTAACGCAAATTTCCTTCTAGGCCGTCTTCAAAGAACAATCCTCCTCTCTCATCCTTCCCGCCCTCAAGAATCCCAAGCTTCAACAAGACCGCTACAACGTCTCCAAACTCCTTGAAATCTTCATCATTCGCGAACTCGCTCCCCGACTATCAAAATCTGACAAAGAACAAATAATACTCAATACACTTACCCCCGGGTTCTGTCATTCTGACCTGATGCGTCATGCTGTATTTCCTTTGAATATCTTGGCTTGCATTGGTAAATCTTTGTTAGCGAGGACAACGGAGGTAGGTAGTAGGACTTTAGTTGCGGCAGCGGCTGCTGGAGACGAAAGTCATGGGGCGTACATGGTGGATTGTGTAGTCAGTGAACCAAGCAAGTATGTGAGGAGTGAAAAGGGAAAGAATGCACAGATGAGAGTTTATACTGAGGTCATAGAGGCGTTGGAGCAAATTGAACCAGGGATTACGAAACACATTTAAGAATGTACATAATTAGATACAATTTTACCTCTTATAAGCTTATATACCAATTATACCCGCAACGTCATTAAATCACCCATTAAACCACCCATCGAAACCATCTCATGAGCCCAAAACACCCTCCAACTCATAAGCACCACTTTCCCGTCTTACAGACCCCGCACTTCGTTCAAAATATTTCACTGCTCCCTTCGTAGTCGCACAACTGCTTATGCTACCCCCATTGACATCCGCTCCCACAGGTGTCTTCTTCCCATCCTGCACTCTTCCAAGCACATGGAAGTAATACCACACCTCACTGAAAACCGTATATCCATTGTCCAAGCTTCCCTTCCCCTGCTGCGTAGCATTATATCTCGGTCCCGAACATCCAATATACGGCACGGCACCGGTCTCCTTCTTCAACGCCGATTGCAGCGAGGAAAGCGTATACGTAGTTGTATTAGAAGGAACTATATGGTGTTTGCTCAGGAAATCATAAGTTGGGAGGGTGGAAAAGTAGGAGAGAGCGGTGGTATAGAAAGATATTAAGTCGGAGAAGGGGGTGGAGTTGTAGGTTGGTCCGTAGCAGGCAGTATCGAAGGTGGAGAAGCAGGTGGCGTGTTTGGAAAATTCGTGCGCCCAGAGGTACCAGTTGGGTTGGTTTTGAGCAATCCAGTAGCTGGGGTAATTTTGTTAGTTTTTGGGAATGATAGAGGGGCTGGAGGGGGAAAAGAGAACGGAGATTTACTTGTTCATATAGGCGAGGAGATCATATTTTCCATAGCTCTTGATTATTTCCGAGATGGGCTTTCCGGTGTAAGGAGGCACAGGTGTTCCACTTGCCGTTCCGGTTGTAGTATTAGGAGATGGAACCGGGTCATATTGACGGCTACATATTTCTAAAGTTAGTTTTGTAATTCTTCCCCTTTCCCAATAACTGGAATTCACAAACCTCAAATCGCAATACTGAGTATAACTTCCATTGCAGAAATCGGGCCAAAGTCCATGCAACGTCCAAGAATTCTTGGGTAACAATTGTCCCTCCGATTCGTACCCAGTATACGTATCCCAGAATTGGGTACTGAGAACTAGACCTCCAAAGGTCTCGGTACAGCAGGAATCGGTGAGGTCTGGAGAGGCATTCTTGGAACAGGAGAGATAGGGCGTTTCTAATTTTTTGTTAGATGCTTTAATTTCTTATAGAAATGCAATTGCGATTGTGATAGGAAGAGTGAATACGCACTTAATTCACAGGTATGATTGAAGCTACTCTCTCCATATAATGATGCTTGTACACCTTGGAATGGGAATAGCAGAGGAGCGAGAAACGCAGTAATTTTAACGGCCTGCATATTGAATACTCTCCAAAAACTTAAAGGCGTAATTGAGAAAGCGCAAGCAAAAAGAAGTGTGTTCAAGAAATATTTGAACTTACCTTGGAGCTTAAATATAGATAAAAATACCTCGACCAAACTTTTAGCTCATCTCGGTCACATTGAGCATGCATTTAATCTACCTAATTACCGTATAGGAACTCTTACCGAATTCAAGAAAGATACTACGCCGACAACCTAGTATCGTGCAAATTCGAAAGGAGTAAAAGACGGCAACTTATCAATAGCTTGAAATTATAGAGAGGAAAAGAAAGGAAAGGCAGGTGTTCAGGAACGTGCTGCAGTGTAAACAACGACCCCTCCTTGATAAAATCTTACACGTGGGGCAGGTAATGGATCGGAAAAGATAACTTGGTATCGGAATTCCCCAGGAACGGTTTTATTGTACTGACACCTGCCTTTCTAGGAAAGGACAATTGATCGCCAAGAATTGTGGATACGTTGTAAGTGTTTCTCAGCTGTCATTCGTATATATGACCGTTGGAGTGGATATGTGCATTGCATTTGCTATATTAAACTGAACATGTACATGAAGGTTGGCCAGCTCAATGAACGGTGCTCCAAAAATCAAAAAATATCAAATCGCTTATGCTTTTGTTTTATGCTTATGCATATCCTGAAAATATGTACAATTATATATGAAGTCATTCGTCTTCATGAGTCGTAATTAAAGCTGGGTATCTATAATAAAACTTTCTATGGTCTTCAACCTCTTCCGAATCTTCGATCAAAGAGCTTGAGCACACCCATAACACTTGCAGCCTCCACTTCCATGGGTGCTCTACCAGCATGTTGGAGCGGTGTAGCATGAAGACGGCCTAACCACGTATTCAACTCATCACTGGCTTGATCAAAATTCTTGTGGGTAGAAAGGGTCTTGTAGGTTTCTGCAACAGATAAGCTTGGAGGTGGTTCTGAAGTAGATGCCGGCTCCATTGTCTTGCAACAGCCACCACCAGAAGAATTGCCACCACAACATCCGTCAGGTGGAGCTGAGCTTGAAGAAGCTCTCATTGCTGCAAGTGATCGACAGAATAGTCCTGCTTTTGGATCACTCATACATTGTTTGCAAGTACCAGGGCCATTGGCACAAGAATTTGAAGCTGGTGCGGCACTAACTGGTCGATGCATATGGTTGGGTTGCATAGATGGAAGTTTGACCTGTGTGTTTTCAACATCTGTATCTGATGGTGGTGGTGTTACTTCATTAAGTAGTGGTGCAAGACGATTCTCCTGTTCTCTTTCAGCACACGGGCAAAACGTTGATTGATCACAGAAGCCGCATGGTTCTATAGGTCGTGAGATAATCTGAGGTGGAGGCGATGGCTCACGGACGATGGGCTGTCGTCGTGAGAATTGGGCAGTGAAATCAATCTCGAGAGGACTGGAAGGCCTAGATGACAAACGAGCACGCTTCTCTGAGGCGCCATCAACTGAAGGAGAGTGTGCCCTCTTCAAATCCATGCCGACATCCTTGAGCGTTTCTTCCAAGCACTGACAATGAGTGTCAGGACTACAATTGCCACAACCTTGAGTAGACATAGCAATTACTTGTTCAGCACAAGCACATTCGCCCAATGACTTGCAACCGCCACAACCGATTGATTCACTTGACACCTCAAGGTCCGGAACGAAGGAGACTTGCTCTTGTCGTGGCAGTGGTAAGGGTTGTGTTTGAGTGGATTGGCGATTCCGGCGTGGTGGGAGAGGAACAGCTTCAGTGCTCTTGCTTTGAAGTCCGTTTCTGAGATACGCTAGTTCCTTAAGTGCAGTCTCCTTCTCTCTTTTTTCGTAATCTGCAATTCGATCAAGGGTCTCGCATCGTAATCTCCATGATTGAAGTTCGCCATTGAATTTAGAAACCTCTGCCTCAAGTCTAGTAATCTTCAATCTCATATCATTCTCCCGCCTCTGTTGATCTTCCTTTGCCTCCTCGAGTTGTTCCTCTAATTCACCTACTCGTGCAGCACGTCGTTCTCTGAAAGCACGTTGAGCGGCTCTGTTTTGAGCCTTTCTCTTTGTTGGTGGGGTATCAGTTGCAGGCTTTCGTCCGGGTTTCGGTCGTGGCGGAATAACCCATTCCTTGGTTGTCATGATAGTAGGGGTAGATACACCCGATGTTGGCGACATGGTATTCATGCTTGACAGATTACCAGTTTTGATGGCGAGAACAGGAGGAGCTGGAGCAAGGGCTGTTGGAGAACCAGCCGATGATGGTGTTGATACCGCGGGTGAAGCCATGATTCGGGTCAACGAATAGCCGATTGGCGAATTCGAGTATATCTACCTATCGCAGCAAAGGAAGGTCACGAGATATAAATGAAAATAACTCTTTGGGAACCGACTTTTTCCTCAACACTGACTGATTGATGAGCATACAAGTAAATCCTTTGTAGTATAACAAGATTAACTGTCTTTGTTGGTAGGAGAAGGTTATCCAAAAATCAAGTCGTTACTCTTCAGAAGAGATTATTCATGAAGATATTGAAGGCGAATATTGAACAATCGTGTACCAAATAAAAGGACGAATGAGCATTGTTTGTAAGATCAGATTAGAAAAAGAAAAGGGAGGGGGGGAATAGAAAAGTGTGTGAGAGATCAAAAAGATTAGATTGATAAAAATTAGCGTGAAAAATTAGTGTCACAATGTCATCAGCCTAGTTACACAAAGACGCTACTTTCCGAGAATCGGACTTTATTGGTTTTCCCTATTTTGCAGGCATCAAGTGAATCTTAAGTGTCTGTCCTATAGCCTTCTAACCTCTCCTTAACCTTCGACTAACCTGACATATGAATTCAATTGTCAATCGACGAAGTATATCCAATCATACTCTATATCACAGTTGAAAATCCCTTCATGCCAAGGGATAAAAGAAGGGATCTTTTATCAACGATTGTCATCTCCTCGGCTGTTGTCCTGGGATTCTGACTTGACTTTACCAGAGCTTACGTTCGTCGTCTGGGTCCTGTTATGTAAATACCGACCGACAATCTGCTCATGAATGCCTGATTAGCCTTAAAACGAAGAACTACCTGGGAATTCCAACGGAACGGGTGAGGGTGGATGCATACAGCAGAGCATCAACCACACACATCAAACGCAAAGAACAGAAGTCTTGAAAACAAGATATTAAAGCTTATTCAAGAACACAACGCCCTGTACGCTCGTATTCTTCCTCTCAGGACTTGATTGATTCGAAAATCTCTTACAACCATCGAACATGAGTAAATTCTACTTTGGTGGAGGATCGGGTGATGTTTCCTCGGACGATGAAGACAATCTTCCATATCCCGAAGCCCTTCCCCGATCTGATTTCTTAGCTCCATCTTTTGATGCACCAACTTATCTATCTACATTATCAGATCGTCACCAGACCCTCGAGGATTTACGTTCCGACCTTCGTGAGCGTTCACAGGGCCTTTCTAAAGAATTATTGGATCTGGTAAATACCAACTATGAGCAATTTCTAAGCTTGGGCTCGGACCTTAAGGGTGGAGAAGAGAAGGTTGAAGATGTTAGAGTGGGCCTATTAGGTTTTAAAAGAGGTGTTGAGGATGTAAGAGGGAAGGTTAGAGAGAGGAAATTGGAGGTTGAGGGTCTCCTTGATGAGAAAAAAAGTGTTACTAAGGAGATAGCTCTGGGAAGAAAATTACTGGAGGTTGATTCACGACTTGAAGAGTTGGAGGATAGGTTAATGGTTGCATCTCTCGATCGCTCACCAGATGGGCTTGAAGATTCTTGGAGTGAAGACGAAGATGAGAATGAGGATGAAGATCAAGAAGATCTTGCTATTGATGGCGTTGTCAATGGAACAAGTACGAAGAAGCTTCAAAGGTTTGTATTAGACTATCGTAACGTTGAGCATCTATCGATCACCATCGGATCGGATCATCCGTTCATCGCAGCTCAGCAACCTCGATTGCTACGGCTGAAGAACACCATTCTTCTGGATTTAAATAATGCTTTGAAGCAAGCATTGTCATTGAAACTAGAAGGTGGACCGCGGCTGGTCAAGATCATGGGCATATACCGCGATTTGGGAGCTGGCGACGAAGCGGTAAAGATATTGAAAGATTTCAAATCGAAATAGCAAGTTGAGCCATGTATTGTAGAGCTTCAGGAGTTTGTAGTATTATACCCCGCTAAAGTAAATGAATTTTCATTATACAGTTAAAGTACAAATGTGCATGTCATAATATATTGTGTTATGAAGTCGATAAATCTCGAGGGGTCAAATCCGAATTGAGATCCCTGAACTCCCCATTAAGAATGAATCCAGGGCCATTTGTAGAGCTCAAAACCACTTCAACCATCTCTTTGTTGATTTTGTCACTCAATTGTGCCATGTCCTTCTTCACAGCCTCGATGAAGGCCTTGACATTTCGCTGCATTTCCTCTGGTGTGAAACCGAGTTGACCGACCGCCATTCTTACTACACCTAGACGTTCTCTATATTCAGCGCCTCCAATTAGATCCTTCAAAACCAAACTAGGATCTTTCACAACGGTACCCGTCTTCGCGCTGGGCATCAGTCCTTTAGGACCCAATACCCGACCTAATCCAGCTTTATTCATTTTCGCAAGGGAGTCCGTTTGACAAATACATCTATCGAACTCGATTCGGCCAGCCTTGACGGCTTCAAATATCTCCTCTTCTCCGACTAGCGTCGCTCCGGCTGCTTTGGCAGATTCCGCATATTTCGAGTCTGGAGGGCAAATAACGCATATCCTTAGATCAGTTTTGACTGGGTGTGGAAGTCTTAATCGATTTCGTACGACGGGTCCGTTCTTGAGGGATTTCATCTTCAGATGTATCTCGTATTTGGAAGAATTTGGAGGTCTTCCAACTTCGAATGCTCTCAGATATCTATGCGCTGCATTAGTAAATATGTTGCATTGAATCAATAAAGTAGACTAACCGCATGGCTTCACACAAGGTGAATGTTTCTGCGTCTTTTGGGTCATATTGTCGATAAGTAGTCCTTGGCTTCTTCTTCTTCTTCTCCGTTGTCTTCCTTTTAGAAAATGATTTAGTTGGTCCAGTGAGAGCGCCTGACTTCTCTTTCTTGGAGAGAATCCTCTCTTTGAAGCCCTTATGTCGGACTTGGACTATAGGTATTGAGGCTTTTGGTGCATGTAGTAAGGTGTGTCGAGCAGTAGACAAAGACAGCCTGCTCATTTGAGCTAGGCATAATCCTGGAGCTGCCATATTGTGTAGATCGAGGCCTAAAGTATTTCAATATTGGTCGAAAGTGCTTGTAATTCGAGATCATCCATAATCACTAGCGCCTAATCATAAATTTTAGCTTCCGCTCGGCGCCCGGTGAAACCCTTTCCGTGCCACCCCGCCCTGAGTCAACAAATTCCCCCACTACTCTCAGAATTTATCTCACGATATAATCAAAGCAATTTACTACTCAGATATACAAAAAATGAAGTCTGAAGAATTGTCTCAACTGGCAACGAATCTAGCTCCGCTAGATTTCAAGGCTATTGAGCCACATTTAATCGCCTTGGATAAACACCTTACCCTTCGTTCATATATTGACGGATACACGATCACTGATTTGGACTCAAAAATATGGGTCACACTTCGCACAAACAGAGTTGCAGCTGCTTTCTTAAAGAAGGGCACTTCTCTCAATCTTGTCAGATGGTATCAATTCATTGAGCAGACACATCCAGAAATTCAAGAGGAGATCAAGCTCAAAGATGAGGCAGAGAAGGCAAAGAAGACAGCTGCTAGCAAGGCGGGAGCAAGCTACAACATAGCTTTGCCTAATACCGAGAAGGGGGTTGTGACTAGGTTTCCACCAGAGCCGTCGTATGCCAAAAGAATCAATCACAACTCAAAGTTATGGGACTAATGCTGTTTAGTGGATATCTTCACATCGGTCACGCGAAGGCTGCACTTCTCAATGACTATTTCGCACACGAGCTTTATAAGGGGACACTTCTCCTCAGATTCGACGATACCAACCCTTCAAAAGAGAAACAAGAATTCCAAGACTCTATTATCGAGGATTTAGCACTTATGGGCGTCAAGCCAGACAAGAAGAGTCATACTAGCGATTACTTTGAAGAATTATATCAATATGGTCTGAGAATCATCAAAGATGGTAACGCTTATGCAGATGATACAGATCAGCAGACTATGAGGGAACAACGAATGGATGGTATTGCAAGCAAGAACAGAGACAAGAGTGTTGAGGAAAACCTCGCCATATTCGACGAAATGAAAAAGGGCACAGAAGCAGGAAAGAAGTTCTGTATCCGAGCAAAGATGTCTGTAGACAACCCGAATAAGGCAATGCGCGACCCTGTTATCTACCGATGCCCCAACGACGATCCCGAGACTGGTGGCCCCTTGCCCCATCACCGCACCGGTACTACTTGGAAGATGTATCCTACCTATGATTTCGCATGCCCAATCGTCGATTCTCTCGAAGGAGTTACACACGCCTTGAGAACAACCGAGTACAACGATAGAAATCCTCAATATCAATGGTTTATTACCAAGTTGAACCTTACACCAGTACACATGTGGGAATTCGCTCGCATGAACTTCGTTCGAGTCTTCCTCTCAAAACGTAAATTGGCTAAGATGGTTGATGCTGGAAGAGTCTGGGGTTGGGATGATCCTCGTATGCCTACAATCCGCGGAGTTAGAAGAAGGGGCATGACAATTCCCGCTTTGAGAGATTTCATCTTGAAGCAGGGGCCAAGTAGAAATATTGTAACCATGGATTGGACCAATTTCTGGGCCTCAAACAAGAAGGAAATTGATCCAATTGCGCCAAGACACACAGGTGTCGATATCAAGGATCAAGTAAAGGCAGTTGTCACCAATGGTCCAGAATCCCCATACACCGAAGACAAGCCTAAGCATGGGAAGAACCCCAAGGTCGGAATGAAGAAGGTTACATATAGCAAAAACCTCATTCTTGATCAAGAGGATGTCAAGTTATTTAAAGAAGGCGAAGAAATTACTCTCATGAACTGGGGTAATGCATTCGTGCGCAAAATTAATGGCTCTGGTCCAATTACAGATATTGAGCTGGAACTGCACTTGGAGGGTGATGTCAAGAAAACCGAGAAGAAAGTCACCTGGTTATCTTCTGACCAAACCCTTGTTCCAGCAGAGGTATACGAATTTGACTACATGATCACTAAGGACAAATTGGAGGAAGATGATAACTGGGAAGATTTCCTCACTCCAGATTCCGCTCACAAGACAGATCAGCTATGCGATAGCAATGTTGCCGATCTTAAAGAGGATGATATTATTCAGTTGGAGAGAAAGGGGTATTTCAGAGTTGATAGAGCGGCCAAGGATGGAAAGCCAGCCGTGATGTTCGGTATTCCTACTGGAAAGACGAAGTGAGGTTATGAAATGATATAGAGGGAACGAAGAAATGATATTAAAAGACTACCAGTCATAAGGACCGTGGAATAAATAGATGAATGAAATGTTGCACGTTTTCAACCTCCTTCCCCCTTTACCGTTGTAAATTGCGATTTGAAAACTCAGATCCCACACCTATTTGGCTGGAATGACAAGTGCATTTGAATGACGAGTTAAGTTTCAACATTATATTCATCTAGTAGGTTGTTGAACGTGATCGAGATATTGCCGTTGTACGTACATCTTATGTGAGGCTGATCTATATACAAGATTTTAAGGTTAAAAGCTGTGAATTAGTTAAGTTTACATAAGCTTATACAAGGGCTTCAGACAGGGCTAGTCGGACAATAATGTACCGCTATAACAAATATATTAAAGTACGTACAACATCCTCAAACCTGATTGCGGATCTCCCACAGGATGGCATTTCATTTGTCGCTGGAAGAACCAGGGCCTGGAATTCCCCATAACCACGATGCCAACAGCCCAGCAGCTGGCGGCCAAATTGGGATCAAATTAAGCAAAGATCTCTGCAAGTCATACAACTGGCAAAGATATCAGCTCCGCGCCAAGAAATGGCGATAATATGATCCATCTTAATCACCATTGGGTAGCCTTCACGACCGCGAAAAGCGATCATCTATATCAGGATGCAAACGCAGTCGCCGCCCCACTGTACAGATTTTACTTGATGAGTGGAGTTTCCACGTTTTCTTTCGTGTGAAGTTTCTTTCTTGTGTTGGAAAAGCTTCAGAATTTTTTCGGATCGATGTCGCGAGAGCTTTCCTGGAACTTCCGCTTCTGGAAACGAGAGCTTGCTTCCCTCTTTTGCGGAACGCTATGCTTCATAGCTCTAGCTGCACTTCTATATGCGTTTGATGGGAAGACTATTTTTCGTTGGCATGGCATCACACTTAACGCCTTAGTCTCTATTCTTTCAACCGCCGCTAAAGTGCTTGTTCTGTATTCCATTGCTGAATCCACTAGCCAATGGAAATGGCTCCATTTCTCAGAACAGAAGCATTTTCTGATAGATTTCGATAAGATTGATGCTGCTAGCCGGGGGCCATTAGGTAGTTTCAAACTGTTATGGAGGAAGAATCGGGAGTAAGAATCCTAGCCTTCTATATACGATGCAAAGACGACACTCACACGAATGATAGGCTCATAGTACGCATCGGTGCTGTCACGACGGTTCTTGCGTTGGCTGTTGATCCTTTTACACAACAACTTGTCCAGTATCAACAACGTCAAGTTCCTCAAAAACATGGAATTGCCGACGTTCCGAGAGCAGATCGTTATTCTAGGGGTCGATTGTTCAATATGCAACTCACGGTGGTGTCAAGTAAACTCGATCCTTCCGAAATACCAATAAGGTATCAAGACCGCTGACCCATGAATAGGTGATCCGCCCCTAGCACAGGCCTTCGCTGACGCGGACTTCATCATGCAATCAGCTGTCCTATACGGTCTTACGCAGCCTCTTGAAATGATCACTCAACAACTTCCTCACACATGCACTTCTGGAAATTGTACGTGGGATGCATTTGAGTCCCTTTCGGTTTGTAATGTTTGCAACGATCTAAGCGACAAAGTAGTGGAATATCGAGATGACAATTTTCTCTACGCAGCCTTGCAAACCGACAATGATATTGCAATCCGAAAAATGGGCACTGCATCCAGACTTCCCAACGGCTTATTTATTGATGGTTTTGATGGGTGGAACTATACCACCAATTCTACATCTTTGGATATTCCAGGTGGTATATTTATGACGACTTATGGAACTGGAAATGGTAGTGAGACGGTATCACTACAAGATATTGATACGTTGATATGGGCGATGACATTTCTCAAAGTACACCCCCCTCAAGATGGATCAAATCAGACGTGGCCAGACTTAGAAATCGAAGCACGAGAATGCGGCCTATACTATTGTGTCAATCGGTATGATTCTACAATTTTCAGCGGTACTCTTTCCGAAGAGATTTCCGAGGTTACAAGTGCAAAGCGAGATCCGGATTCGTGGCAGATTACAAGCTCGAAGTGGGCCGCTGTTCTTAACTCGTCGACCGTGTCAAGTCTTAATTTCGATAGCAAATTATCCGCGGCGCCTCGATCCGACCTATCCCTAGGTGGAAAGTATAACGTCTCACAGGCGGCTGTCAATAGCGTTAGTAGCTACTTCAGTGACCTTTTTTCGACCAACCTAAACATCACGCACAATGTCACTGAGACACAACAGGCAAGATTGAATGGTTACATCATGACCGATGGTAATCTCCAGTATAAGCCCAGCTCGATGCAAGCTTTTAAGACGAGCAATGATCTCCCAGCTACATTCGCGTCTCTTGCGAAAAGCATGAGCAACTCCATCCGTGCTAATGACGATGGCGCAAAAGTACAAGCAGGCACAGTCTATGAGACGATGACCTTTTATAAAATTGAATGGGAATGGATATCATTGCACTGTTTCTTCATCATTGCCGCTACTGTTTTCATCGTCCTTACAATCTATCAGACGAGGCTGCGTGGAACTCCTGCTTGGAAGTCAAGCTCACTTGCCGTTCTTTCTAGAGGGCTTATGGTAGGCCACACGTTTAGAGGCGCGGAGACGATGAGTGATTTAACTGCGAGAGCAAGAAGTGAAAAGGCTTGTTTGTATGGGAATTATAGTGAAATACAAGAATCTCGTGAGGATGTCGAGCTAGAGGAAATTGTTATGGGACCGTCGGATGTTCAGAAGATATTTAAAGGGGCACGTTTGATAAGATAAAGACGAATCTTATATTTGCTACGTTGATGAGAATGATTTTTATACTCAAATTGAAAAAGTGCACTCACAAACATAAGAAGGTCAGGATAGCAAGTATCCCAATTTGAGCTTTGTACGTGTTTGATGAGTTTTCAGTGTGAAATGTATCAACGATCAAAACAGTTTCTGGTTGATTGCAACACGGAGGGGAGGGTTTAATATTGTTCCCCACACTATTCGAATAGTCGCAATATAAGTATTCGAGATCATCTTTAAGATTGTATGCAGCGTCTGACTGTGTTCTTGTGGGGTTTTCTTGTTTTGGTTCATGCATCTATCTACAAAACCAGTTAGTCAAGACAGTAGATCAAGTAAGTGCAAAATGAGTAGTGAAGCTGCCTGTTGGTAGGTTGTATTGGTCTTATGCATCTCGAGTCCAACTGTTGATTCCTAGCGCATTAACATCGCTCGCGTAACTTGTTAGACGCGAATAGCACAGTATAAAACCACCTAATCTGTCCGCGTTCTCACTGTAATTCTTTTTTTCCCCAAAAAATTTATTATCTGCGATTTTGTGCTGAGATATCAATAATTCGTTGATTTAATATCCATCTCATCCTCTAAACCTCTCATATTTGGATACATCGTGCGCCAGATTGTCATGGCAGTCTCGTTACCCACAATAGTTCTAGTACATGGCGCCTGGCATACCCCTGCCAACTACAAGAGCTATAGCGACGCTTTAGAAGCACAAGGATTCAAGGTCCTCTGTCCACAACTACCTTCATGTAACGGCAAATCACCTCCCGTCTCTTCATTTACAGAAGACGTCACTGCTGTCCGCAATGTTGTGAAATTCCTCGTCGAAGCTGACGAGCGAGTTTTGATGGCCATGCATTCTTACGGTGGAGCAGTCGGTACCGACGCCGTCGAAGGCCTAACATTCGCTGACCGCAAGGCTGAAAGAAAATCCGGAGGCGTCATCCATCTCTTCTACATGTGCGCCTATGTTGTTGTTCCCGGGACGTCGGTCTGGGATATCTGTCAAGAAGCAGGGTTCGCTCAACTCTGGCCTCAATTCATCCAGAATTTCGATGATGGATCTACATTCCCCGTAGACCCATCTCTCTCATTTCTTGGCGGTGTAGAACAGAATATCGTCGAAAAAGCGCTCCCAAATCTTGTGAGGTCTCCAATGTCGGCGTTTGAGACGAAGACAAAGGGGGATGCGTGGAGAAGAGTTCCGGTTACGTATATCTTGACGCAGTAGGATTATTCAGTGCCAAGGCCGTATCAAGATCTTATGCTTGAGAAGGTGAAGAGTGAGGGGGTGGTGATTAAGACGGAGGATTATGAGACGTGTCATAGTGTTTTTATCACGAAGGAGAAGGAAATGGTGGATGCGGTTGTGGTGGCAGCGAAAGATGAGAGGAATCTGATATAAAATTGTCTATTTCATGGCTTGATTAGCTGCGTCTGTATGAAGTGGATGTATAGTATCAATGCGATTTTATCTATTTCATCCATTTTTTCAAGTATCTTCCATCAATAATATTTCCTAGAGCAGCAAGCAATCAACCATCTCAATACGATAGCATTTAGTATCCTATCCCTGAGAATACTGAGGATTCCAATAATCCTTACAACAAGTGAATTCACGCAATCAATGTTTTAAATTAACGAAGTCCCCCCGAGACATCAACGGAGGTGTAGTCAATGGTAAAATACGCACTTCAAGATCTGACCAAACCCTTTTCATGCCAGGATCTGAGCAATGATAAAGCTACTAGGTAGCTTGATTAAACAAGGCTCACAGATCGGCAAGAATTGAGCAAGACTTCTCTGGTTCTAGGAACCCTGGCCTTGGTACTGGAATGGGTAAGCTTAACGGTGCGAGCTGTGAGTTCGAATCTCACCACCTTTATCTTTTTTGGGAATCTGTGGAGGAGATTTACTGAAGTGGTGATGAACGGCTGCCTCATTTTTATGGGTGATTTATGGGGAGGAGTAGCAATGCAATAGTTTCTTGATGTGCATAATGAGATCTCATTATGCCTGTTTGATCATCCGTTGTCGTACCATCTCTTTTACTACTACTTTTCCAGTCTTGAAATTTTCATTGGATTTGGAGCACCATGATTCTGCATATTGACGAGTATAGAATATTCTTCCAACATAATTTCATAGAAGCTCAATGAGGCAAGATAAAATTGGAGGTGTAGTTCAGTGGTAGAATACACACTTCAAGGTGTGATCGGACCCCATTCTGAGACTCTTGTTGACATGAAGCAACGATAAGGAGACAACGAATTGGGCGATTCTATTGATTCTAGAATGGAATCAGGAATCGCATTGGAATGGTCTACCGTGAGTGAGTGAGCCGTGAGTTCAAATCTCACCACCTCCATTTCCCTTTTGGAGGTCCAAGTTTTCTTTAAGGCGAGAACAATCTTTCCATTTTGGAGGTGAGGAAGCTTGTGGGAAGTTTTATGGGCTTCGTTCTTTTTTTTTCCACACGGAAATTCTCAACACTCTTTTTATTTTTGTATATACTTCCTTTCTCTTTCGCAAATTATACCAGAATCCTCAACTACTTGCAAAGTGCAAATATTTGATACCATAGCCATCAGATAATACACCATGGGAATGCAACCCGGTGATAGAATATACACCTCAAAATGTGACAGATCCAGGAAAGCTCAATCCTTGGAGTTGTCTCCAGAGGCGCCGGCGACTTCCAGATTCTCGGCCATTTGGCTTTAAAATCTTTCTCGTGTGAGTGTGTAAGACAGTGCTTCGATTCTTTTTATTCCAAAGCTTTTTTACTTGTCACGGGGCTTCGGAGTCCGCAACGTCTTGAATCTTGATCAAGTCTTTTGTTTCTTTGTGATATCACTTCGTAACATCAGGAAACATCCGCACTTTTACTTGATTGGCCCTGAGCTGTAGGATCGGATACGAGATACAATTCTTCTAAAGACTCGAAGTAAGTTGACCAAAGAAAAGAATATACCAGCCACTGTCCTTCAATATTCTATGCCTCTGCCATAGTAGCCAATTTGATCACTTAGCTTACCCAGTATCCATGAAGCTTTCAAGGGAAAGATCCCGGCATCATTTTTCACGCCGAGTTTACTCACTGCTGCCTTATTGATATGCGATGACGAAGTATTCACAGGCATGACAATATGGGATCAATTCATTCTCTGGTGAATTTCTTGAGAGATCTCTGAAACTGGCCACTGACTAAGCTCTTGACAAGGAATTAATTGTGTAGAGAGTTAGAAAGACTAGCTACAATCACGTTTATCTCTTTTTGCATCGTGCTCACAAGTGTCCGTCTCTGCTACCTTCCTAGTTTTAGAACATTACGAATGATCAATAAATAGCCAAGAATATGATCATGAAAAGCAAATTTGCAATAATATGGAGTTGGATGAATTCGAACCGATAACCTCTTAAGATATACACGCATCACAATCGCATGGGCGCGCGTATTCCTAATATGCTCGGTTATCGAGTGTTCACGGAAGTTTTATATATACCATCTGAGTTACGATCGTTTCTATGCAAGAAAGATGACAGTATAAGTCTTAGCATACAGATTTGTTCAAGTTTACACATTTGGAGAAGAAACCTTTGTACCGTTGGAAGGCGACAGCTCTTTCCTTATTCAGAAATAAATACAGCACATAATTGACTACACTCCACGATTGCCATAGGCGCATACGAAAACCTTCGGCTTTAGACCACTCAACTATCATGGTTAAAACTAGAAACAAAAGTAGTAAAAATATATGGAGCTGGATGGATTCGAACCACCGATCTTATTGCAGTAACCATCTTAGATCGACCAATGGGTGCGCGCCCGGGGGAGCGACGCTGGTACGAATCATACTGCATTGCTTTACCACTAAGCTAAAACCCCTTCACGTCATTATGGTCGGCGGTTGTTGTCGACGCATATGAAGGTGTAATGAATCAACTTGTCTTGGAAGCCAGCTGGGATTGACACTTCCTAATCTGGAGCACAAAGGTCGGTCGTATCCATTAATTCATCTCAATTACAGGCAGGCTTCTATATACTCAGGTGAGATTGTAATCATATTCTACTTGAAGATTAAAGATTTTAGGTTGCTATTCTTGATGCAGTAGTCATATTCCCCCAGCTTCAAGCCACAATTCGTACCACAAGATTCATCATTTTAAATTCTATGTACTGTCAAGAAGAATCAAAAATTTGTGAAGTTGTAAGCAGAAATGCACATGAAGTTTTGAACAGGATAGGAATCGAATTCATCTTCCGAGCTCATGGTCAGGTCAGGCTCAGGTACTGGCTGATGTCGGATTTCTTTGTGCGTGTAGTCTGCATTATCCTCTCAAATTATGATACAGACACTCTATATTAAATAATATCATTTTTATTAATTAAGTTAACTATTGATGTCGATAAATTAATCTGGATATGCTGATGCACGTTTGCTACTGAGAGTGAAGTCATTACTTTGTGACGATTGCCTTCAAGAGAACCGCCCCCTCCTTTAATGTCGTTAACCTTTGGGAATTAGAAAAACAAATTTACCTTGCACTGGACAATGATTTCTGTTCATTCGTCTAATAAGAGTGTAACTGGTCTCCTCGCTCCAGTCGGTGCACGTGTTTGATGTTCGGAGAAATCGAGTTCTACAAAAGAAATTTACGGGCAAGCGCCCGCACGCATCCAGGATTCATCACTTTTGAACAGAGAAAGGGAGTTGAAAGTTGAATAGATATAATTGGCAATCCATTTCAAGAGACTACTGATTTGAGGAATTCAACTGCAACTTAGAAGGCTCGCTGCAGGATGGATGAATATCTAGGTATTCTTATTGCTGAACCACATCCGTGCTTCATGAAATTTACAACTTCTTTCTCCAACAAGAAGATATGCTGTTACATCTTCTAACCTCCGATCATTGATGAGGTACAATGGCATAGCTATTTTGGTAGGTGGTCCATCTGAAAATGGAGATATCAAGGTTCGAAATTGCATCGCGCACATTTCTTTAATCTCATCATCTCTATGTTAATTCAGCTAGAGTGCTATTAATCTGGTAAGTGACTTGAGACCAAAGGGATAATTAGCTGATAAATCTATGGTGCTGCTCTTTCTTTGAGAGATCCGCTTTAGCACCAAACATTATGTTCATTCAAAAGAAGGAAAAGACGAGCCAATTTCGAGAGGAGGAAATTATCTAGAAATCCAAGAGCACCGCGCTTCGAAGTCACACAAATCAGACTTGATTACCTCACATCGACTCGCTCCTGCATTCTATCATCTATAATCACGAATTTGCGATGCCTCTCATACTGATGCTTGTCTAGGCTCGGGTGTTTGATGTGTGCGTTCTACCAATTTAACAATTTTTTCTTCCTTTAATTGCTTCCCTTTCTGAACAGATTCTACTCATGTTGATACTGGAATAGCAGTTTTGAACCATTGACTAGGAATCTATGAAGACCGAAGTGATAATAAGTAGGGCTAAAGTGAGTGTGTGGAAATAAGGAGGCTTATTGCATGGAGAAACGGATATCTGCATGTGCCCCGCAATCGAATAGAATGATTGGAATGGACTTGATGCCCAAAACGTGATTTATAAACAAACATAAATGCCTGTATCAAAGAGGGCCCCTCTCGATATTCTGCATCTTCACTCCATTGAAAATTCCAGGGAAGAAGTTATTCCATAATACCTAAGATAGGGTGAAGTTAGAGAAATGAATTATGAGCAGTGGGAACCGAACTCACATCTTACACAATCAAAAGCATTCAATGAGCCTCGGGCGTTGTATGAGCAATGTATGCTATCGTGCCCGTAGGTGTGAGATAATTGTATTCGTGGTGCGCGTTCTTACCAGTTGGACTATGCTCCCGACTTTTTTTAAGAATGGAGAGCCTATCTCTTTGGTTACACATTGGTATATTTCGCTATGGACACTTAGAGGATTGGTGGTGAAATCTGGATGGAAGGGAGAGCGAAAGCTGCATGAGACTCGTAAAGGGGCTTAGTATCTACTCAAGCTACCTGGAAAAGTTTGAGTTCAACCCTCACTGGTTCTATATCAGGTCGTAAACCAGGGAATAATATTGAAGGCAGTGAGGGTTGGACCCTGATATTAACATAGTTCAAAATGGTTTCGGAACTTGCTATCAATAGACCTCTAAATGATGCACGGTAAGTATCTTGAGAGGACAAGGAAGTTGAGATTCATACACCCAGCTTTATATTTCTCATCTTTCCTGGTAGTGTAGCATGTAATAAAGTCGTGTATAGCAATATTTTCGGGTTTCTTGGTGCACATATGATAAAGATGATTGGTTGATGAGGTGCGGGCGGGCGTTTGCAGCATGAGTCCCACAAATGAGATAGTATCTATGCATCTCATCTCCAATCGTCAAAAATAACAGAAAGATCAGTTATCAAGAGGAAGAGATCCGCAAAAGATTGATGGTCTGGGAACAGTGAGAATCGAACTCACATCTTACACATGCAGTCAGAGAACCTCATGAACCATCACCCCTGGTGCACCAGAGTTATAATGAAGATCTGGGCAATCAGCCCTTTCAGTGTATGTTCTGACCAACTGAACTATGCTCCCAATCTTGCGCAGATTTTGCATGTATGTTGGTTAGATGAAACGCTACTGGCCTCATGTGTAAAGCATTGAGAGTGGAAGATCACGTGCACGTATCACGGTGTGGTTTCATTGCGCAACACTTGAGACTTAAAACCGGCTATTCAATAGGAATTATGTAAATTTGATTGAACATTTGCAATCTCTGCTCCATAATCTATGATAGTTCACTGTGATTCAGTATAAGCTTTCAAAGTATCCAAACGTCGTCAGGCTTGAAAAGGTTCCTCGATTATGTGGGATAGACTATCTTATGTTGTATTCTGAATATGTATGTATTCTTTGATAGGAACGTAGATTTGACGAGATAAAAATGTGCTAGACTGTGCGGTGCTTCGGTTTATCATCCGGGTCTCCCATTCCTTGGCCAGGGCTTCTCGGAAATGAGAAAATGCAGTGCAGATTTTGATTCATTGTATATCTATTTCTTTCAAGCTTGTACATAGCATAGATATCTTCAATGCTGACGCTTTTACCAGATCTTCTCACACCTCGATCATAGATACCGTTCAATTCCAACTTGTTCCTCAATGTGCGCGGACACGCAGACCCTACAAATGGCTTTCGCTAGTGACTTCTGACCTCTTACCTATCTGTACATAGGTATATAGCTCTTCGAACCAATGAATTTTTTATGTCTTCAGTTTGCAATGGTGAATAACTGCTCAAATTATATACTGCATTCGGCAAATAGTGGTTGGTTTAGACGCAGAAAAGATAACTTCTATTGTGACTCTTATTGGAAGTGTAAATAAGGCTACGAGCGCGAAATGAAAATTCAGGGTGAGAGCAATAGCGCGTTACTAAATTTTGAGAGCTCCCTATACACTTCTTGAGGGTCACATGTGGCCTATCTACTGCCGCACGTGGCATTTCTTAATTGGAGATACTTCTACGAGAAAAGGCTGGTTGGGTAATTCATTTCAAAAAATGTATTCACCAACCACAGAAATGCTTTTAGTGTACCACCTGCTGCCTGTGATAAGGATGAAATTTTCCGCCCCAGATTCACTATGTTGATGACATGTTCTCATTTTATTCCCAGCCAGGCGCAACACGTTTACTGGTATCTTGTGCATCCATACAAAAATTGGAGACGCAATCAACTGTAGAAAGCATATTATTATTTGAACCTTTAATAGTGGCTCAGTCATTGATTCATTTCCAATATACTAAGAGATGCCCTATCGTAAGAGTAAGATTTGATCCAAGAAAGGCTGACTTCTACGTCTCAAGTCTGTCTAATAACAATGTATTGTGGGGTAATCCTTGATAAATCATACATATTACTATGTCTATTTTTCAAAACAAAGAAAGTTGATTTATTGTTACAAAAAGTTGATCAGAGTACTCAGGAGTTCGTAGCGAAATTAAAAATTAAGAGCTGAAAATTCAAGATTGTTGTTGTGACCCCTTTTTACGCGAGTCCAACAGCAATGAACTGTTGATCTTTGCAATTATCTATATGAACCCTGAAATGAATTAATAAAGCCAATAATGAACTTTTCCTCAACAATTTCAATCAAAATAAAAAGGCTGTAGTCTTTACACAATGAAGCTCAGGCAAGGCAGCGTTAAAGCAGCCTGATTTGGGACGGCTGATAGAAGACCCATGTCAAGAATAACCCGATTGAGAGCTAAGAAGTGAATTTCAAATGTCAAGGTATTCAGTCTGTAGTTTGAAGAGATTTCCATAGAGTAAAAGCAATCTCTCGCCAAGCCTTTTCAATTGAGCTTGAAGATACACGCACAATTGATAGATAATTCTCAAGATCAATCCGTTTTGCACGCATAATCCCCAACCCAAACCACAATTACCTATTTCTTCTTCAAACAGTGCCATCTCACTCATGACTCTCATACCAACTGCACATTTGACAAACGATCTATTACACAGTTATTAGCAATGGGTATCCAATTCTCTACAACCTCTTCTGGGCCGTGGGACGAGAAGTACCCCCATGGCAGCCCCGGCCCGCCATCGACTAGTTCCAATGAACCTATTTTGTATCCCGATAATCCTCGAGGTACTTATATTATGAAGCTATTATCACACAGCTGGACTGATGTCTCTGAAATGATCGCACACTGTGTACGTAGCAGCTCACAAGACATCAAATATCACCCTATTTGCGCCCTATTGTGCCGATCGATCAACTACAACCAAGACCTCGGAATTATCCTTGCACAGTATATGAACATCTATAACCATTTGTTCTTCGGAAGAATGGTCAAAAGCTCTGCCATGGACGATTCCGCCGACAACGAGGTCAAGATTATCTTCAGCCAGGAGTTGGTCACCGATGAACTTCAAGCCGAGGAGGTTGAATTGAATGATTACCTGGGTCTCATAAAGAGTTCTTTCGAAGACGGATTCAACCGTGTAACCATATACATCTTGGATACACGCTCTGTTCGACCCGGTTGGAGCTACCACGAGATCATACGTGAAATGTTGGGGACACTTGCCCATGAGATGATACATGCCGTGCATTTTATGTATACGAAATATACAGGAATTAGGTATGCTACGCATGGTACCAATTTTCAGAGAGCTGCGCAAGCTATTGAGCAAGCAAATCGTGTTTCTTCGGGAGGCGAAAGGTGGTCTACCCGAAAATCGAACTTGGTAGAGATTTTGCGGTATTATTCGACGTTTTGCATCAAGAATACAAGGAACCGACTGACGCAGAGATTCGAAACATGGGGTTAGATGTCGAGGAGCTTAGGGAAATCTTCCGGAAGCACCTGCCTGCCAGGAGCGATACGATCGATCAATCAATCAGACAATTCGCATGATCCCACTTCCTCACATTCATAGTTTTTCGTCACGATCCTCGCAATCGCCTTACCGTCACTGGATTATACCAAACGGTCCCATCGTTCGCCTCTCTTTCGTTTCTGTCATATCGCAGCCTCGTCTTTGGGCAACTAAGAGACCCTCTGGCAATCCTTCGTGCGTATTTGGTCCTTGAGACGTCTGTTCTCGAGGCATAGTAAGCGCAAGGTCGTCTCAGTCTTGTTCAACCAGTACGAGTCTCGCATCTCCTCTCTCGCTCCTCCTTCTCCCCCTCCTCTCCCTTTAATCGACATTCCTCGCTGATCTTCTGCTCCCGAGAAGGCTAAAAGACGGTCCAAGGTCATTCAACAATTCCTACTGTACTATCGTACTCGCGAAAAGCTTCAATATACAGTCCCTGGAACTATTTGCTATCATCTTCTCCCTGTAGCTCTGGCAAAGCTTCAGGGCACTTGTGACGCGTTTATGTTTTAGCATTCACACGATCGTCCTCACGGGAGACTAGACGACCCTTTACGCTTTCATTACATTATCGCAAGAATTCGAATGGTTGGGTTCTTGGTTCTACCAGATGTACCAGCCTTCGATTCTCCGTCCATCAGCATCGATTGTTTCTCCTCCCTGGCGTCTATTAGACAGGGTTAAAATACTATATTTGCTTCTCCTTCGAACCCTTGTCGCCATTAAAAATACAAGGCGATTTCCACAATATTTTCTCGTCTTACTCCTTCCACTGGAGCGATATTGTGCTCAAAGCTGCCAGACGAACTCAACATACTTTTTTCATCCTTAGCAGCACCTGAGCCCTCTCGTTCTGGATTCACGAGACCATTTTTGACCAATTTCGAATTCAGTTATGCCGTTGAAACACTTCTGCTTTCGAAATATCAAGAGAATCTATTACGTTGCCGTCTTTGTTTTGGCATGGGACTATTCTCGCTTTGGTGGCACCAGACGGAATTCATCTAATTCTCGCTGTCCTTTAGACCTGCCACGAATCTCACCTCAAGATTCAACAATTTGGTTGAGTTGAGTCCAGTTTCCTTGGAAGCATCTAATAGGTCATGGTATAGAGGTACCAGACGATTGCTACTCTCCTCTCACTCTGCTCCACTTCTACGAGGGGGCTCGTCTTCGAATTTGCTAGGCTATCCTGATATTTTCTCTCCTTTTCTCTTGTTTCGACTTATTCTCATTTCGGAAGCGCCAGACGGATTTCCCCCGCTCTGGCTTTGCAACAATGTTACAAAAGATTTTTGAAGCTATCAGACTACTGGCCTGTAACACTTCCTTCTGCGGCATTCAAAAATGCTCGCCTTGAAGACGCCAGAAGAACTCCACCCTTTTCTCATCTTCTTCCAGTCCTGAGGGGAATCTCGTCCTCGAATGGATCAAGCCGGTCGACTAGATCCTCCTCTCCCTTCTAGTATCAAGTATAAATCATCCCTCAGGCCCATCAGCTGAGGCTTATGCCATTCCCATTGCCCTAGTGGTCGAAATCCTCTCGTCTCTTGATATCTGGTTCTGATCCCTCACCTTTTTGTCGCCATTCGAACGGTTTCGACGATTTCGTCTCTGGATCTTACTATACGATTAGCAGTCTCCATCTCTCTATCTAGAGATCAAGCATATGCTGTCTGTGCCGCCTACCAAACGCGAATCGAATCAATTTTGTTGTTCCCAACAACCGCACTGTTTCATCTCTTAAAAGCACAGGATGATCAACCGTAACTCGATATCTTTCCAGCAGTGTAAAATACTCTGTTTTCAGTACTGTGCCGGGCAAAGCAAATCCATCTTCCGAATTCAGCAATCGAGCTTGTGCTGCCCCTGAGAAACCAGATAGATCGACAACCTCTGTCTCTTATACTTGACAATCGCCATCATTTTCTCTCTAACGCCGATTATGCGCTAGCTGGTCTACTCTTCTTATTCTAGGTCACGAAAAGTAGCTTCCTTTGGCAGCATCGGACGGATCAAATGTGCCAGACGGAGGGTTAATTTTATATTTCACTTACAACAACGGAAGAAAAATCATCTCTGTTGCAAAATGAAAAAAAATTAAGATGACTATCTCGGCATCAACACTTACACTTTTCTCCGTCCTCAATACACAAATGCTTAGCCATAGCTTCACCCTATTCTAGAAATTGAGAAATTCATTTGTCTGGTGCTTGTCATGTATGACCGAGCAACTTTCCTCGATTCCAGCGACGGAGATTTTCCACCCCTCACTATAGCAGATGCGCCATCGTTATTCCTCCTTAGTCTTACATACCGAGAGGTCTTGTGCCTAGGAAGTATCAGACAAGGGCTGAAACACTCTTCTCGCTCTCGGTAATGTGTTAGTTTGTCTCTGAACTACACCGGCTATTTGGGCTTTCTCCCTACTTTCTGATATCGCGTATTTCCTAACCTCGTACCTATTCGGTGTTCGTCAAATAACTCCAGCTTCTCGAATACCATATAAAACAACATTCTCCCAAATCTTCCCAAGCTCCGAAAGCCTTTCAACCCTGCCATCTTTCTTTCGCGGGTCAAATTATTACCTCAAATTCCTGAAGCAGGAGATGATACATATATATCATCGAATTTCAGGGTTTTTGGTTGAATTATCATTTTATCATACATCTAGATAGCCATCTCTCAACCTAGAGGGCTTGGATTTTGGGGGGTAGGATCAATGTGGCGCGCCCTGTGAATCTTGAGCACCTTTGGGATGACCAGGTGCTTCGCTGCATACTCAGAGCCTTTGCCATCGCGCAAAACCAATTGTTTACCATCCTCCGACATATCTGTCAATGCTACAGCCATGAACAAATCCTTGTCGTCGTCTGGATGTTTGGTGAAAGCTGATACTTTATGCATAGCATCAATGGCTGAACCCACCACCTGACCTTCTACGAGAATATGTTTAACCCGAAGCCCCACACCTGGCTCAACCGTAGGAATAATGATAGATCCTGGATGAGTAGGATCCTCATACACACGAGTACAAAAGTACTCCCACTTTGGCAATGTCAAAAGCACCTGTTCTGGAATCACGCCAGATTGCTTTGGCATTGGTACAACCTCAAAATCTTCAAATATTGTCCTCTTTTTGTTCTTGCCAGACCACCAAGTACGAGTATAGCACCAAAGTCGCCCCAGTGCTCGGAACTTTCGTTCAACATTGATGGATAATCCCTCCTCGAAATCAATGAATCTATCAATTGGCTTGATCTTGTGTGCAAGTTTGAGTCCTTGGTCTGGCTTTGGGTCCATGAAGACTCGATCTCTGATACCCTTTGCAAGCAAGCTCGCCGCCTTAGGTGTGACCAAGTCCAGGAGACCTTGATACCTTATTGTTTGAGATTGTGGGATGGGAAAACCCTGTTGACAGAGAATGGCGCCATGATCAAATTTGTGTGGATCTAAAGTTTGAAGTGAGACACCAGTAATTGTGTCTCCATTCATGATAGTGTGGTGGAGTGGAGCAGATCCTCGATATCTATGTTTTATGGTTAGCCTAGGTATATACAAGTGGCCTTGGAAATATTTACTGTGGAAGAAGTGAAGGGTGAACATTAATTCCACCATATTCAGCACTGTTGAGAATGCGTGGTGGAACGAAGAGGCCAAATGAAACTGCTACGATAAGATTGATTGGTTCTCCATTTGGTTTCGGTAGCTATAAATTTGATCATCAGTAAGGATTTTAAAGAATAAATGCAGATCCCAAAACTAAAACTTACGTCCCATCCGGTGAATGTATCTCTCTCATGTATGCGGAGATTTAATTCTTGGGCCAATTTCTTCAGCGGTACTGACAATGATCAGCGTGCATAACGAAGAACTGACGACAAAATTCAAAGCTTACCTTCACGAGTCTCTTTCATGCCTCTTCCAGTTTTTTTACCTGGTCGAACAAGAACATCGATAGAAGCAATTCCTTTTGGATCTGATCTCTTCTCTGCCACCAATGACCGAAGAGACTCACAACTAAACTCATCAGAACCACAAAACAAGATTCTTAAAGGTGCTGAGAATTTCGAGGGCTTTGAGGCACTGTTAATTGTGAAAAGTCGAGAATGGAATCCATGGATGGAAAATGGCTTCGGTGGGTGTACAATCCGTCCCAGTACAGCTAGAGATGTTCTTGCTTTGAGCTTCATGATTGTGAAAAATTGCGGTCAGAACAAGTTCAGTTTACACTATACATTGTCGATGTTAAGCCGACGACTTCTTAAAATCACGATCCTCGAGCTGCTTCCATACTGATCTTTTTGCATCACGTGCAGACAACTCTTTGATATTTTATGTAAGCCGGCCTAAAATCGCATGTTCTGTGCCATGCATTTGGCCCACGAATTACATCACCTTAAACATTAAGCTTCCCAATAGCCGGACATTTACTTCCACGCCAATCTAAGAGCTGACCGACGCGATTCAATCAATAAATGATCTACAATATATTTATATCCTCGTCTTTCTCTCATTGAGTGCCTCAATCATGCAATGTCTGAGCAAAACCGAAAGGTAGTACCCGCGCAATTAGGCTTTCTAGCCATCTACAATCCTTCCTTAGGGTCTACCGATGATACACTCGACAATCAAATTGTTTATTATTACCCCTCGATCAAGCAAAATGAACACAAGAGAAATGCCCTCGCGGAAACTAAAGACGCCCGCGCTTTTGCGAAGGAGCAAAAGAATGAACAATTGAGACAGATTGGGCTTGCTCAGGGAATGGTAGAATTTGGGAGGAGTTTTTCTGAGGGTAAATCAGTGAATACTATAGAGACTGAGAAATCTCGCATTATTCTTCATGAATTAGAATCTGGCTGGTGGATATTGGCTGTTAGTAACTTTCATTCTTGAGTTTCTTCATTGTGCTAACATGCATAGTCGATCAACCTCACGATATTGCCGGGCACAGCAAAGACACCAGTTTCCAAAGGTCAAGCTTCCGAAGAACATGAAACCGTCGAATATTCCTCTCGGGAAGTTAAACCGGCAATACTACTCCTGGCAGACATATTAAGAGCACACTCGACTTTTCTCCTTCATCATGCTGCTTCGATGAGCGCTCTCTTTGTTCGAACAAAGCGTTCCAAATTTGTGAGCATTCTGGGTAGATATTGGGATACATATCTCTCGACATGGAATGTGCTTATGCATGGCAATCCTGCCAACAATCTATATGGGGGGATCAAAGTTGCTGCATGCGGAGAACTTGGGGTAGGAGTCGGAGAGGAAGAAAGGGGCAGCGGTGAGAGAGAAGTCCTTGAAGGATTCGTTGGACAAATGGATGGGCTTGTGGATGTGATGGTCTCGAGATTCGGAGATGCGCGATCGAATTCGAAAGAAGATACCAGTAGAGGCTTTATCGATCGTCCCAAACAACCTGCTCCTTGGTTGGGTTCTGGAAATGAACCCGCGGCAGAAGATGGTGCGATCTTTCTCGGTACTGGAGCTTTATCAAGGAAATCAATTAGAGATATTGCACATTGGACTGAGGATCTCTATAGATGGGGTCCATATACTTATGGAGTCCTTGACAACCCTTCTTCTACCCGTCGCACAAAAAGACACCCTAAGTCCAGGCCAAGACTTGACTCAAATCTTGGAGATACAAGGAATACTGCCCGACCAGCATCTAGTCTCAGTAAGGAGATACCAATCCATGATGGACCTAACGATAGACCCGCGCCTAGTCGATCTTCAAGTATCAGTACGGTCGAGCCTAGACCAGTGGTGGAACGAGGTGATCAAATTGATCAACCTAAACTCAAATCATTACCGCCATATCCGAAGTTTCGCAGAAATCCTGCCAGTCATACAAGTACGGAAGGCACTGAAAGCACAGATGGCGAATCGAAGGGTAAAAAGCTTACGCAATACTTGAAATTCGGCTATGGAACTCATTGGTCTTTGGGTGGGTCTACAGCAAAAGAAGAAGAGCGTAGCAGACCCTCAAGTAACACATCTACACTTGTTTCTTCGATTGATGGTATTGTCAATACAAGTGGAACATCAACACCTACACAGGAGTTCGACGATTCTAAAGGACACTACTTAGTAGGTCTGATGGGTGATATGGACAGTGAAATGACGTTACTCGTGGATTCTAACGATGAAGACGAAGATCTCGAGGGCCAAAGCCATCGACTTGTACTCCGTACTTTAACTGTAGAATTGGAACGCGAAGAAGATGCTCGCCAGGAAGCTGATATCAGTATTGATTATTCCGACTTTGGCACATCATTCAAAAATGCCAGCGGTTCGGAAGGTACAGGTCATTCTCACGCTTCATTTGAAAGTCAAGATCGGAACAAGGCGAAAAAGTTAAGAGTTGTGGCTTATGCAAGCAAACCATTCATCTTCATTTTCCTTTTCGAATTACGAGCAGATACCTTAGCTTTGAAGGGTTTATACCGTTCTCTTCATAAACAACTCCAGTCTCTCATCAAACCTCTTCTCAAATCCACATCTTTTCGAGCTCCTAAACCAGAAGTCCCGATTTCTCCTCTTGCAAATACGAAGAATCCAACAGCTCCCATATATGATCTTCTCTGGGACCCCAAAACTTTAACTCTCGATTCAAATATACCTAATATACCCGATCCTCAGCAAGTTCAAACACAAGAGCAAGCGGATAGTCTCCCTTGGTCTCGAATTGAAGCGCTAAATACACATTTACAAATCATGCATACATATATTGCTACAACTGCCGATAAGAATACATTGGAACGTACGGCTAAAACATCAAGAGGTTATTGGATTCTTTGGACTCGCATTCCTGCACCTCCCCCTGAACCTTCCCCTGCACCTCCCGAATCAACAACAAATTCGACTTCGAAAGTGAACATTCCGTCACTTATACCCGAGAACTCGGCAGAAAGTGAGACTAGTAGAACTTTTATGGGGCAATTGAGTGATAAGGGAAGAAAAAACAAAGATATGGATGCGAGCATCAAAGCAAATAGTAAAGCGCAAACACAGGGTACAGTAGTTAGTGGGCCTGCACATCCGTTCTTGGATGAGGGTGGTGCTGAAGGAGAAACAGAGGGGAGGAATATGGATAAAGAGATTTTTCTAATTAGGAGAGCGAGTGATTATGTGGAGGCGGGACAAGGGAGAGGTTACGGTTATAGCTATGCGGGGTGGGGAATGGGTGGTCAAGGAGCAGGGACAGGAACAAGAGGTACGGCGGATGCGGGGTGGGGAGCTATGGGATTAGGGTTAGATACTAAGAGGTATATTGAGGGGTTGTTGAGTTTGAATCGATAGTAATAGGATGCTGGATTGATAATTTCATCTTAGGGTTAATGGAATAGGATGATTGGGAAGGGGATGCAAATGATAATGGAGAGGTCAGGTAGATCGGGTGGACATCGAGGATTATGTGCATATTCAGTTTTTAGTAAATTATACCCGCTTTGTTTTTGGACTTGTTGGTTTTCGTTGTGATACTTGCGATTTGGGTAATTATTTACCTCTTAACTCTTCAACTCTTCAATCTTTAAGATATAAATGACGCATGGAATCCTTGAGAGCAGAAAAGACAGGAAGGTGTATTGAGTATTGAGTATTGAGTATTGAGTATTGAGTATGAGTATTGAGTATTGAGTATTTAGTATGGAGTATGGAGTATGGAGTATGGAGTGGTGAGAACTTCGAAACTAAGAGTAGATGGGGATCAAGATGGAAGATCTATACTCAACATCCATCTCCCAACCATCTCCCTCACCCTCTCCCTTATCCTCTCCCACACTTCCAAGTCAGTCAACCAGCAACCCGCAAAGGAAGAAGGTACAGACAGAAAGAACACGATGTGCGGAAAAAGTCTTGAATAATACCTACCTACCTTCCTACTTGGATGGATGGGATGGATGAGGTGGGATAAATATACCATCCATCATCCAATATCACAGACCCTCATCCGCATAATCGAAATTGCGATCAGCAGCCCGTCAGTCAATCAGTCAGTCAGTCACAAGTCACCAAATCACCAAATCACAAGTAATTCAAAGCCCAATAAAGCGATATGTGTGTATGAAAAATCATAGCAAATTTCGTGTTAAATCAAAACACTAAGTCTATCGTAAAGTAATATGTATGTACAAGAAGCTATTTCCTTTCCGAAAGGGGTTTCATTTTGTTTGTCTCTGAATATATCTCCATTTTCATGTTGCTTTTTTCAAGTTTTGCTTTTCGATATGAAACATCCACCCCACCTTCCTTTGCCTCAAGCTTTTATATTTTCCAGTGCATAATATGGTTATGGTATCGCGAAATGCATGTGCTCCTTTTCCCTCCCAAAGACCGTATGAAAGTAAAGTCTCATGGCGGGGTTAAAAAACGCCAAGCCAAACAAGTTATGCGATGATTTGACCATGTTCATAACCATCCCATGCAAAGATGTATTCCCTAAAACTCTCGTAAAATTCTCCAAAAATCAAAGTGAACCAAACCAACAACCACGAATAAAAAACACCCCAATGATGTGAAATCCCAAAGAAATTCGTCGACTATCTTTTTCAAAAAGAAGCCATGATGCAAAAGCCATAGATGAGAAAGAGGTCTACTCTTCCTGGTGTATCAAACTGGCGATAGTTATATCCAGGAGAATAAGAATTGAGTTCTTGACTTAATTTTGAATATTTGGAGGAGCCAAAGTATCAAAGTTGTGAAAGTCGAGAATGTAGGGATTGGGTGATTTATTCGTTGAAGTACCAAGTGGCTTGAGTGCGGCCGACAGCTTCTTCAGCAAGTTGATCGAAGGCGAAGTTGGTGAGATCGATGGAGTTACCCTCACATCCCATGCACTTATCGATGACGGTTGCTTGGGTAGTCTTGCCAGTAGAGGTACACTTGATAGTGATTGTCTTTCCACAGTATGGGTTGCTGTTTGAGAGGGAACCCATGAGACCAACTGGAAGAGCAACACCTGCAAAGCTGGATCCATCAGTAGTGATTCCGCAAGCTCCGAGACCGGCTTCGTAGAAAGTGATATCTCCAGAGCAAGGAGAGCCGGGGGGGCAGACTCCAGAGCTGGATCCAGAGGAAGAGCCTGATGCAGGAGAGCTTGATGCTTGGGCAGCCGCGCTGGTTGAGGATGCAACATAGACTGGAGCAACAATGCTTGAGACTGAGGAGACGACTGGGGCAACAATGCTTGAGACTGAAGATACAACTGGTGCGATGCTGGTTGAGGATGGGACGACAACTGGCGCAACACTAGAGGTGGTTGGGACCACGACTGGAGCGACACTGGAGGTGGTTGGAACTGGTGCGATGGAGATAGAGGAGGTAGTTGGGACCACAATTTCGGAGGTGGTGGACGAGGTGGTGGATGGAGCAGCGACGGAAACGATGGAGGAAGAAGATGGTGCGACATATGGTGCGACATATGAGGAACTTGGTTGTTGGTTGAGAACAGCACCTTCAGAGCTACTGGCTGCGGCAGTAGACTTTGGAATAGAAGTGGAGGAAGCGGCAGATGACTTGGGCTTGGTTGCCAAAGTGGTAGGAGTAACAGATGGAGCCGCGCTGCTGGTTGCAGCAGCTGTTTCACCAGAAGAAACCCAGACGGTGGTAGTATAATCGACAGTCTCGGTGACCATTTCGACTTCTGTAACCCATTCAACATCGCGCTTTTCGTGTCTGGCGGCATGTTGATGACGGGCGTGTGGTTGAGCTACGACGGTGGCGGCCAAGAGACCAGAAAGGATAGCAGTTGTGTACTTCATTGTGACGGTGATTTGCTTGTTTTATTGTTCGTGAGAGATTGTTTATTGGGTATGGGTATCTTTGGATTGAATCTTGGAAACAAAAACTCAAGTTTGAAATTCAACTGAAGCCTCGAGGGAGTGTAATGTGAAATTGACTTGCAATTTCAATGATTTGATATCGATGTCTAAAAGGAAGGAGTGAGAAAGCTGATATTTCTCGGTGGTGAGTAGGGCTGAAGTAAAGAATGTGGAAGTGAGAAGATGTTTGTTTGACAATGATGTGGTTGTCGAGGGATATGAATTCTTTAAGAAGGCTTCAGGCTGACTTGCAGTGAGAGTTGAACAGGCTGGCTGTTGTTTTTAGAAAAGGGAAGAAGGAGTGTAATGTAGTATTCTGAAGGATTGACAGATACTAATCAGATTCTGGATATTGAGATCTTTGAAAAAAGAATGAGAGGAAGTGAGTGTGGTATGTGATGTATTATGTATGAAAAGAGAGAGAGAGAGAGAGAAGAGATGTGCCGATGATGAATAATATTCACTATTCATTAGGAAGAAGTCTAGAGTTGTGTAAATTATGCTAAGGGCCGTCTTACCACATTGGGTTAATGATCATGATTCAGAGGAAAACACGAGGGAAGGAAGGGCAAAAAGTGGAGTAGCAAGGATATAAGCCGCGATTGACCAATTATAAGTGGATCTCTTAACTTGGGCAGTGTGGTCGGGGATGTATCATGTATGAAGTATGGGAGACTGAGAGACTGAGAGACGACTGGGACTGAGAGACGACTGGGACTGAGAGACGACTGGGACTGAGAGACGACTGGGACTGAGAGGCGTGCCAGCTACGATATGGTCAAACTGGATTGTATGGGTATCATTTTGTTTCTCTAGCTCATCTTCTCAAGGATTATGAACCAATTAAATGTCAATGTTTTATTCCAATTCTTTACCTTTTTTTTTTTCCTTGCTTCTCTTTCAACTACGTATGGATCTGATCTAGGAATACCTACTAACACCTAGGCCACAGTTTAACTCATTCCAGTTCAATCGCTTCCGCGGGAGTCTGACAGAACTGGCAGGCAGATAGACAGACTGAAGACTGGAGACCGGCTCGAGACTGGAGACTGGTTCATATCATCGGCATTGTGTTGGTTTCCATGAGCGGCCCTACACACTATTGGCATGAAGGTCATCCATCACCATTGACAAGCTTCAAAGTGTCTCGCCATGCAATGCCCTCCCTGGTTACCTGACAACCCTTAGGAGTGTACTGAGATGGAGGGAGGCTCGAGGGAGGCTCGAGGGAGGCTCAGCATATTCCTCACATAGCACGATATAAAAATGGCAATTTCTTTTTCTGTCATGTTTTAGATTATTCGCTCAATTTCTAACACCAGGAAATTCCCGAGATACTGATTCCCATGATGATTTCATTCTTTTCCATTTTGACTCCATTTTCCATTTTGACTCCACTTACCACGAGAAGAAAATGAATGAATGCATTTGACCCAGCTTTTTTTTTTCCCAAGGCTCAGTCAGTCAGTCCGTCAGTCAATCAATCAGTCTGTACCAGGTAGAGACAGCGTACGATGTACAAGAGTCAGCCAGGTACAACTTTTATTGATTAGGCAATTGCCCCTGAAAAATCCCCTACTCTGTTCTGTCCTGTCTGGACTCTGTACAGAGGGAGCGGTCCGTTAGTGATACAGCCGTCCAAATTTTACTCCAATAGGATATCAACATTACCCAGAGATTTAGTGGTGAAAAAGCTTAGCCAGGTACGAAATATCCCGTTTCATCAGTGCCATCCAATCAGATATCGTTGTCAGCCTCTACCTGGAATCCTGAGTACCTTAGTGGGATGTAAATGTATGTATGATGTTCCAGGTGTGATCTCCCCTGCATGATGAAAAAGCAAAGAGAACTTTTTACCTATCGCATAGCATGGCGGGTTCAAGCTAACACACGCCAGCAACGCGTTTCCATGAGCTGAGTTGTCACGACTCACGACGACTCCAGATTTAACGAACGAACTTGGAGTCAGTCAATCAATCAATCTTTTTATGCAGACGTAGTACGTAGTAGATACAGTTTACGAAAAGAAGAATCCACGCATGCAAACTAATTATGCAGAGTTACAAATCCTTCCATCCATCAGACTTTTCACACCTGCATCTGCATCTACATCTGCATCCCCGATAGAGCGGAAGAGTATCAAGGAACGAATCGAGAACTTTCTCATTAGTACTCCGTATGAATCGTAAAGTGGTTGGTAATGCAATGAGTGATGGGATGGGATGTGATGTGTTGCTAATTGTCAATTGTCAATTGCTAATTCATCATTCATTCATTCATTCAATTCATCCCATTGAGTCAATTCATCCAGTTCATACAAACCATCCGATGCATCCAATTCATCCGATCCATAACACCATCTTCTTCTTTCAAACTTCATCAAATTCCTGAATCTCCCGAGAGGGGTTTGACAGTATGTGAAGATGACTTCCCCCAAAAGTTCAAAGCCCTATCAAAGTGTTGTGAAGCCACCCAACTACCCTTCCCTAATAAGTTCCCTTCCCCCCCATTTCACATGTGTCCGTGTTATCAACATTTTCATTATCGATAAAAACCGCATCAGGGGTGCAAAACTCGCGGGAGATGACTTGTTTCTCTTCAATTTCATTTCTCGGATTATCGTCATGATTGACAATTTGATTCATATTGAAGCTATCGTCATCTTTCAATCAAGCAATCAATGGGTCAGTAGTATTCTTACTCCTCGTATCATCCAACGAGAATAAAAACAATCTCAGATCGGGTACCTTGCATAATCATCACAGTAGATTGGGATGAACACAGCCATAACTTTATTTCTGGATGGTAAAACCTTACTTTAATTGCGAATGGTCCTCTGCGTGGGATTATCTTCCTTCAAAGCCTTTAATGGATGAACATTATAACTCGATTTTAAGATAAGCCTTTTGAAACATTTCTCTCTTGTCAAGGCTCAATCGCAAGCTCCTTTTCTCATCTGATCTGGTCTGATTTCCCAAATACGACGCTGAGAAACATGAATGAAATTGACGGCTTGTGTGTTTCTTGTCATGCTCTGTCATGCTCTACCATGGCTCACGAAAGCAATACTATTCACGATGCCCAGAACTTGGAACATGTGAATATCCGAAGACCTACCTACGGAGTCCGTCAGGTCAGATCAATCCATGTCAAGCATTCTACTCTATCAATCGACTGGTCAATGATTGCCCCGGAATATGCAACAAGACTGCCCGGCTATACATCAACTACTCTCCCGTCTTTCAGCAAAACGGTAAGTAACACCGCTCGTGCTGCTACTGACACCGATTGGTTTCATCAGTGGTCGAATGGTCGAGACCGCGCGGGAAAGAAACTTCATGACAAACAACCAATGGTAATATCACGTGGGAAAATGAGACGAGACTCACATATCGACCACAACAGCACCACAAGCACAAGTAAACTCCATTTACAATTTGTCATCCATGGTCAGATCGCAGTCACAACGTCAATCCCATTAATCTCGACCGTGCCTCAGAATTCTCCATCAAACAATCCAATACGATCTCAAAAATTTCTCCATACGAATCATGTGATACAATGCAAAGCTCGCACAGACCCGAATAATATCCGTTGCTAATGTTAGGTACGAGAAAATCCTCTCTGTGCAGAACCAAAAAGACCCAATTCATCCTTTCCATCCTTGAAAGCTTAGCTCCGCCACCTCTGTTTCCCGCCTATTCTTCCACTTTGGATTTCAAGCTTTTTGTGATATCGAAACCTCTTTCATCCTTTACGAGCAATTTCCCAAAATATCTATAGGAGCATTACGAAATTCATGGCTCGGGACTGGAATGAGAAGTCAAGTATGTGTCTGTTACCTAGGTAGTCCTAGGATTGGATTATACGTAATGTATACTTGAAGATAGATGCAACCAACACAACTTTGAGGTTACCTTGCACAAATGTGGAAGATGCTCGGGTTCCTTTGCTGCAGAGTTAAGAATTGTTTGGACTCTCTCTCTCTGCGAACGCGGAAGTTTCCGAACTTTCCAAGAATTCTCTGTCACATAGTACAGGATGATGGAGTTTAGAGGAAAGTAACCTAGACCCGAGAATATCGCACACCATTCGGATCCAAGCTTTGTTTTCCGCATACACACAAGCTGTCCACGTAGTGCGTAGCGCCTGTTTAGTATTTACTTTGCTCCGTACATTGTCCTGTCGGGTAACCACTAGTAGCTTATCAATTAGGTTATCGATTAGATTATCGATTGTGCGATTGAAACGGCTCGCGTGGTGGGGTACGTTTCGACACTTAGCCCAATAGCCACATGGCACATGAACTACTCGGTCTAGAATTGCAGATTTTCCTCAACCGAAGGGGCCCCAAAAACTGGGAATCTGCTCACCGAATGCCAAACAGTTAAGTGTCGGCCTTATGGAACTTGATGAGGGTAATTGTGGATATCCGGATGCTGGCTAGCAGTGCCCTAGTGTAAGCCCTACTGCAAGGCTGCATGACAGTGCATATCTTCTTCGGAAACTGGAAGAATCATTCCAGGAAGAAAGAATTTTTTTTTCTTCCTTCGCACCTCTTTGTGGGGAGGGCGTACGTCAGAAGTTTGGGGAGTAACGGTGTTGGTGTTGGTTTTGATGTTGATCAATTATGCCATGCCGGCTTTTCTTTCTATGATGTAGGTGTTGAACGTTGAAAGTTCGAGAATGACAAGTCGATCTTCATGGAATAAACCGTACACTAACATCGAGGTTGTAGTCGTCTTTAGATATCGGGATTGCCACTTTCTAGTTTGTAATGCTTGCTCTTTACTCTTGCGTATGTTGAATCATAGATAACGAATTCCTCCCGATAATCGGGTTGCGGAATGTTGAGAATGAATCAGTGTAGATCGCTGTGTAATGATGATGGAGATGGGGATTGGGATGGGAATTACTTCATAGCTAGAAATCTCATTGCCGAACTTGACTCGGGGTAGTTGATGCCGGATACTATGAGTAACTTTTTCTTCTTTCCCCTTCTCACCCCACCTCTAGAAACAGCGATTCATGCTTTTGTCACACTTTTCCTTTACTGCTATTTATCATATTCTTCCTAAGGTTGGTTAGATTTTCCATGTTTCTTCAACGGTGAAAACATACGTAGAAAATAGCTGTCACTGAAACTCATGCGACATCGGATATTCATTACTAGTATTACCAAAATCCATCATATACCCAATAGTACAGGTATACAGTTATTTGATTTCATCATTCGTCTCCCCTCGTCTCCCGTCCTCATCCCCATCCTCACCCATAACCCCAAACTCAACCCCAAAAATCCTTCCATTGCATCAGACATCAGTATTAGATATCAACCACTCATTCCATGCATAATATAACCACCCGATCATGCTCCAAATCTCGAATGTATAGTTTTCGTATACACAAATATACAAATGTATAGATACATAGATAAATCAACTAATACTTAAAATCCGATCTAATATCTATATCTCCTTGTCAATCAAAATGAAGAAGTAGAATTAGAGTAAAAACTCATTAGTGCACCAGTGAGTAAACATATAAATAATAAATTAACAAATAGTAATTTGATAAAATACGGCACATATCTCATTTTTGGATATACAGTTAGGTATTCTTGGTAAAGCGAATGTATGCTTTTCTTTTTGGGGTATGATATGATATGATATGATACAATATCGGGATTCGTATCTTTGATTATTTTGGATTTGGGTCATTTTGTTTTGTTTTATCTCTAATGGTTGATGAGTGGATTATGGAGGTTTCTCAGAGGGATCTTGGGGAGAGATGATGCAATAATTCTGAGAGATGGATGTCAAGATCTGTTGAGAGATATTAAGATATGGATATTTGTATATTTATTTTATTGGTGTGCTGGATGTGGACGTGGATGGATGTGTAATTTTTGATAGATCTGGAATGTTTCCTATCTACAAAATCACACTTTGCTACTTTGCTGCTTTGGATTTTGCGTTTTTGATGATATCATATTTTGCTTAGTTGCTGCTTTGTGTTTCGTGGTGAGGTGTTTGGGAGTTAGATTAGATGAGATTGTTTCTCTTGAATGGCAATAAGAGATGTATATTTGAAATCTAACATGCATCTAAAGAAACAAATTCTTATGGACTGAATGAAATATAGAAATGGAAATGGAAATGGACGGACGGGTCTTTGTGTTTTTGAGTGGTTTAAGAAGGATTCGGGATATATATGTATATATACACCTCTTTGCTCTTCATTTGTGAAAATCAATAAGTCTACTTCTCGCTAGTTGGGTTGGTTTTTTTGGTTTGTTTGTGTATTTATATGCATATTCATGTTCATGTTCATATTTGTATTGTTTTTCTCGTGTTTCTCTGTTTCATGCGCTCAAAGTTTAGAGTCGACACGGCCATATAAAGTCTGATGTAAAGTCTGATACAAACTCTCCACACAAACTCGCTCTTCCCTCATTAAAAATTTAATACCAACTCTTTGCTTATATGATATATGGAATGTATCATCCAGAGAATGTAAGATTATATCTAAATACTATCTAAATACTCTTTACAATTTGAAGTTCGAAGTTCGAATCCTAGATTGAAAAAGAGGTGTTTATTGAGATGAGTAAGGAGGGTTGAGCTTGAGGTTGATTGGGACTTGAGACCTGGGACTTGGAGCGATGGATTGGAGGGATGGATTGGAGGTTGGGGTGGAGATTTTAAAGGAGGGGGAGTTGGAGGAATTGGATTTAAGAGGATGTGGAGAGAGGAATTTGAGAGGAGTTTCTATATGGGGGGGGGAGGGAGGAGGGAGGAGGGAAAGATCTGGGGAGATTGGGGGAGATTGGGGGAGATTAGGGATAGATTGGAAGTATGAGACGGGGATAGGGCTTTGTGTTCTCATTTTTTTTGGGTTGAGATCTGGTTTCGTGACTTTTCGAGTTTTTATGATCTTTTGGTCTATTTGGTACGTCATATCAGCTTTTGGCTCTGCGCCGTGAGATTACAATGTATTGTTTTTGAGCAACAGTTATCAGATTCCTGAGAAGATATCTACTTTATTTTGAGCACTGCTACGGAAATTCAGAAGGGCTTTGCTATGGTTGAGTGGTGCGGAAGTATACTGTGTTGGTGAGTATGTATATTGTGTGTATGTTCGTGGGATGGTATTTCATCTTCTGTGAGTCGGTGTGTTTTATGAGGCGTAATGGAGGATGACAATAGCCCTAGATGTATGTATAGCCATTTAATATTCTGGAGAGGTGAGATAAGAACAGAGAGGTGGATGGATAGATGGGAGAGATCGAGTTAGAGGGTGTATGCAAGTGGAAAACTCGATAGCAAAGATGCTGCATACTTCCTTCCCTTATCCTGATCTTTGTTTTCTCTGTTGTCTTCTACATTTCAGCGCGAGTCACTCCAAGGAATTAAAAAATAGATTTGTGGGAGATGGTAGCGATGTGTGGGGATTATCTCGATTGTTTTGTGATTCTATGAATATGATATGGAAAAAGAAGATCGAGGATATTTATATACTCTTCCTACATACTCTCATCTTACGCGGGAGGATCGACGAAGAGGAGAAGAATAAGCTGCGAAGTATTGCATAGACTTGGTGGATACTTGATAGTTGTCTTGGAAACTCGAGTCCAGATGAATGGGGATCTATAAATGGAGAGAACAGTTCTTGCTTTCTTGATGATAGGTTCTCGAGAAAACAAGCCAGTGAAGCTATCATCAGGATTGCCCTGTGGTGTAGAGATCTGGAGATAGGTAAAAAGTGGGAATGTGGGAGATTAAAAAGGTATCAGTATTTGCGTTCATAGTTATTTGAGAGTTTTCCATTGCTGTTTTATTGTTAGATCTTCATTGTATTATTATTTTCTTTTCGTTTTGTTATTGTTTTTTGAATGGTGATCGTAATAGCACATTTTCTATTTCCGCGGTATTGTACTAGCGGTAAATATTGATGGGGATAGATAGGTAGATTGTAGTTCGTGTTTCTGGGGGTGAGCCTGGAATCAGGATTTTGCATGTAGTCGATTGCCGGCATGAGAAATGGATACAGACCAATTGGGGATTTTAATGCGGGCTTATCTATGGGGAGAGGAGGAATTGGAGCTGGGGATTAGTATGAGAATAGGAAATGAGAGGAGAGGGGAGGGGGAGAAGGGAGGGGGTTCAATGTGAATTAGACGATACTAGTAGTGGATGGGTCAAAGAAGGCTAAAAAAAAATCAAGAGAGTCCCTGGAAATGGAAGGTCACATGAGCGAATGAATGGATTACAAGCTGTTTTTGTCTTGAATAAGCAAAGCGAGAATGTTAGCCCGTATCATGAAAATCAAGATTGTCATGTATATAAGCTCCCGGATTCGCCAGGAATTGAACAGTACATAGGACATAGAATGTATTCCAGCTTGATGGTACATGCGAGAATTGCACTTCAGAAACTTTTCAATAAGTAGAACAAGAGACAAGAAAGCGAGAGATGGATCGCAGAATTCAAAATGATTAGCTTGACGATGATGGAGTTGATCAGGGCTCTAGGAGCAGCAACCAGGTTCGGAGTCTTATTCGTTGTCGGCTTGACGTTTTCACTCAAAGGTTTGTTGTCA